AAAAATCTTCTTGTGAGACCCTTTAGATGTATGTCAGTGGGTCATATGCTTGGGAATGATTGTCAACACTATCTTGGTATTATGCCCAAGTTTTTGTGTCTGAGAGACCATCCAGGAGCCAAGCACCAATGCAATCGCACGAGGGTTTATTTGACAAGCTTAAGCCTGGGCCCAAGTATACCCAACACAGTGGAGTAGGGACTTGGACACTGAGGTGACATGCTTAAGCTTGGGTCCAAGTATACCCGATGCAGCAGAGTAGGGACTTTGACCCCGAGCCAGACCACAGTCAGAGTTTTTAAAAGCAGAGTAGAAGTGGACTCGGTGGTGGGTGAGGACAAAGGGGGTGTTCAGAAGGGCTATCAGGGTAAAGAAGACTGTCAGGATATTGAAGGCCTGGTTACTATCAAGCCAAGGCCATTTTCCCTTTAATGAGGCACTAGCATGAAGACAATTGGGAGTTTCCTGGTGGAATGTCACATTCTTGCTATCAAACATCCTTGTTAGTGAGATCTGGGTTTAGAAGAAATTTAACTTTGTTTACTTTTCCTTCTACCTCAGCCTCCTTCAGTTTTGTTTATGGAGGGGAGGGTGACATCAGGGCTTAAGGAACTGAGTTATTTGTCTCTGGAAATTGGGCTAGACTCGAGGTGGGTACAGCCTTGTTTTTCTTGGCCTCCACACTTGGAGGTTTAGAGATAAAGTTTCCTAAAAGTATGGGAGGCCACAATAAGGCTTGAGACGAGGACCAAACCAGGCCCTGACTTGTGCCTCCTTTAAAGTCCGAATAACCTAACAAAAGGTTTAGGACGGGAAAAGTTGAGTAGTACTGAGAAAGGATCTGTGCTATGTGTTGTGCGCTCGCCTATGTGACTTCCCACACGCTTGCTAAACAGATGAGAACAATTTGGTTGGGGTCATAAGTTCGTGGCTGGTCCTTGCTGCCCTAGTACAGCCCATAAATTACTTTCAGGTTTGCTTTATCAATACAGAACACTTGTACTGGCATCAGCCATTTGGCGTCACGAGGTCTGCTTATAGTTAATTGTGAAACTTATTATGGGAACTCGTGGTTGTTTAACTAGACACAGATGTATTGCTTTTCCTATGATAATATCACTATATATATGGCTTTAATGCTTTGAATAAACTTAGCACTGTTGGACATCCTCCTCAGTGCTCCTCCTGCCCCCATCTCTCTGCTTCTCGAGTTCTTTTCTTCATCCTCTTACCCTCACGTTCCTGGTCGATTTGTCGCACCGGCCATGACATAAAGGAATTGTTAAAGTAGACTTACAGGATCCTAGTTGGGGGTAGGGGTCAGTCAGGCTCGGATTATCCTTTTGCCCTTAGCAAAGCCTCAAGGTGAGGGCAGTTGAGTCCCTAGAGGAGAGCCACTCTGCCTGCTTCAAGGGCTTGTCAGTAGGTAAGGAAATTTATGATTTTCTTCTGCCTCTGTTTCCCACATCATATTTGTAAGGTTGAATTGCAGAATCCATTATCTTGTTTTTTGATTTCAGATGAAAATTAACTAATAGAAGAAAAATATTTGGAAGTCATCACACAAAAAGTTATTGTTGCTTCTACGCATGCCTTACTTGCACTTAGTTGATTTGGTATTGTTTGAAATTATTTCAGCTGGATACCACCAAGAGGCTGTTCTTTTCTTACAGAGCTAGGAGAGATTTGAAGGTTCTGGAAATGAACAACTTTCTTAAGATTTTTTTTTTTTTTTTGGTGCAGCCCTCTCTTTTTTTTAACATCCATCCAAGGGAAGGATGATAAGTCTTCTTCTTCCCTAGTTTTGCCTTAATAAAGGAAAGCCTTTATTTTTATTCAATAATATAGAATAATGTAAAATTAAACATATGTATTTCCTCCAAGTGATTTATAGTAATAAAAACTATTTCTATAGTAATAAAAACTATGTCTAGTCTAGATACTTAACACTGGGGAAAAATCACAAAAAGACCATTTATTTTGTAAAACATTATATTCTTCTGTGATTGAGACATATCACTAAAGGCTGACAACCCAGGGGTGCAAAAAACCTGATGTTGCTTTTCAATGGTTATAGAGTTTCAGTCATGCAAGATGAAAAGCTCTAGAGGTCCAATGATCCCAAATATGCACTTAGTTAACAATTCCATAATGTGCTTTCACCACAGCTAAAAAACAATGAACCCCAGTAGGGTTCCAATGAGTAAACATGCAAGAAACTCAAACACATCTGTGCAAGAATGCACACTAAAGAATTACTTGACCCCTTTTGAATGCTGAGAAGGAGTTAGAGAAGGAAAATGTTTCTCCACTTAATAAAACTTGAGCAAGTTGTTTTCATTAACAGTGATGATTGATAGAGATTTGTTGGTGACATTGCAGTCCCAGGAGCAGAAGTCACCATACAAACAACACTGTGCTAACAAAAGGGGTTTGTTCACATGGCTGGCACTGGCAGGGCCACGAGGGTATGAAGAAACAACGTGTGCATTTCCTGATTTGGAGCCAAAGTACTCAACAGTAATTGTGACATTAACTATTGGGTTTCATGAATTTTTTTAAAATAAGGAAAATAAATTTAATTGATTCATTTATTTATTTTCCTCCATTAAAATTTTTTAAATGTGTCTGAAAAGCTGAAATGTTTTAGGGTATGCTTAGTGTTAATTCAATCACATTTAACTTCTTCAAGTGCTTAGCTTCAAACACTACCTCTTACCCGAGTCAAGACAACTGTTTATAAAATTTCTCTCAAGACAATAAGCACAATTTGAACAAATATTTGAGTCATGGTGATAAAAACTGCTCAAGATGGGTATATAGTATCATCATGCAGAGAAGGATCTAGAGAATTCCTGTTTGTGGGATTTTCTGTGTTACTATCTCCATCTTCTATGTCCTGTAGCCACCACATAGGAAAAATAGACATTTAGAATAGTCATGACTTTAGCCACTAAAAAGAGTGAAGCTAACTTTGACCTGGAAGAGTAATAGGTTTTCTCCCTCTCTTATTGTTTGATTGGGTGACCATAATTGGGCTCAGATATTGGCAAGGAAAACAGAAGGGAAAAAAAGGGAAGAGCAAGACTGGATTCTAAATCCTGAGAAGGAAGAAATGAGGACACTTGAGAGGTTTCTGATAAAAGCAGATATATTACAAATGAGGACTGAAGGCTAGCAGTTCCCATTCTTTTGAAAAATTAACCTCATCTATTGATTTTTCCAAAATTAGTGCCATGTGCTTGCTCTATAATTAAGGTGGTTTGGCATTTTATGGGGGAGATTTCAGCATGAGTTTATTTGTAAGCTATTCAGTTTACCAAAACTGTCTTTAATAATTTTCACATATGATCTATGAAGTTTTCACCACGTAGGTACCAGACAATTTGTATTTGGTCATATACTGTTCAGTTGTATTCTAATGTGTTTTATTTAAAAATTTTACCTCTTTGAATAAAAATATAAGTTCCTTGGGATCTGGGTCCAAGTGCTTTCCACAGTGGCTTACACCTTTATATTGTTTATATTGTCTATAAGACAGCTTACTTTCTTGTTCACTGCTAAAAGCTTGTGCTTAGCCCTATGGTTGGTACATAGCTGACTTTCAAGAAATGTTTGTTATGTCTGTGAGAGGATGAGTAAAGAGAACTAAGCTCATACATAATTGTTCAGTGGCTGTTGCCTTAATGCATGTAGGGAAGTGGGATTCAGCAAATGTATAGAGGGAAAGCAATTAGGTTTTATAAATTAGTGTCACGAGGATCAGCTGTTAAATGGATAGTGTTCAGAGCATTTTAATATATTAATGCTGGGGATACTACTAAGGTATCATTCTGGCAACTTGAAGTAGATTTAGTAGAATAAATACTGTCAGAATGAAACACTTTGGTTTTGGTGCAAAATAATGTCCTAGTTTTAAGACACAAGCAGACAAAATCTTTGCAAGGGGTTAGTAGAATTTAATAGAGTTTAACTCATCTTGTTTTACATATAAAAATGTGTGACTAATATATATGTGTGTAAATATACATATATCTGGGGACGCCTGGGTGGCTCAGTTGGTTAAGCAGCTGCCTTCCGCTCAGGTCATGATCCCAGAGTCCTGGGATCGAGTCCCACATCGGGCTCCTTGCTCATCAGGGAGCCTGCTTCTTCCTCTGCCTCTGCCTGCCATTCTGTCTGCCTATGCTTGCTCTCTCTCCCTCTCTCTCTCTGACAAATAAATAAATAAAATCTTTAAAAAATATATACATATATCTGTATTTATTATGTGTGTAGACACTTACATGTTTGGTCTTCTTCTAAACCTCACATTCTAACTTGGAACTGTAGGGTTCTTTTCCAGATCATAGAATTATTTGTTATTTTTACTTAGGCTATTTCCATGATTAAAATTCCATATCTCCCCAGGTTTCCTTGAATCAGCAGTGCCCCAGAAAACGTTTCCCTTCCTGAGACTCCAGGGAAGTCTTGGAACGCAAAGAACTTGAAGAGGGAACCTGGCCAAATAGAGATTTTTGAGCCTTGGTAGGCTTGCTGAAGCAGATTTTTAGCACAAACACAAATCAAAGTCTTTGTATACTTAAAAGCAGCATTTTCATGTAAGTCCAAAAAGCTCACTTTGGTTCTATTTGTTTGGCTAAAGAAATGAAAAGCTTTGTTTTAATCACGTGGTCATTATTTTGCAAGGGGACCATTGCAAATTATTCTAATATCTTTAATCTCACTAAAGAGTAAAGTTATTTGATGTAACTTTCTCAATAGAAAATTAGCAACTAAATCTTCTCTAACGTCATTATTTTCTTCTAGATCTGAATCAAAGCTTCTCAGGTATTTTTGTAATACAATGGATTCTGATTGTTACTCAGATTCCAATTTTCCCTCAAAAGAATGACGATTTATGATTTTGTCATTAATAGATTTTTGTCTTCTTAAAAGGATAGAACTAAGAAATATCAAGATTTAAAACCTAAAGGCCTTGGAATACTCAGAAGAGCAACATGGCAGAAATTGAGAAAAGAATTGAAACCCATAGAATAAGATGTCTTTCCAAGTTGAAGGTATGGACTTGTCTGTGTGTGGATATATGTATATGTACCTTTTTTTTTTTTTAACCTAGAGCTTATAAAGTTGCTCACATGAAGTGATTTAATGTTAATGTCACATTAGTTGATATATTGATAATTTCTTGCTTTGCTGAGGTTGGTTTTAAACTAAGGGTTAAAGAGGGCTATCAATTCAGGCAATTTAATCAGAAATGATTTTGAGGAACTTAAATGGAAGATAAGGTCTTAAAGTTTTCAGGCACATAATATATTACACCAGGATTTAATGTGCTGTATCAAAAGGCCATTTTAATGCTCACCCTTATGGAGTTTCTAGTCTATAGGAGTATAAGGGTCTCTCCTAGAAAATGGTTCCCTGGGCAGAAATGCTTTGTTGATCTGCATGCAATGATTACTTCAAAACGACCCAGTAAAACAAATGTTTACTTCAAGCTTTGGCAACATATCAATCATTCTTTGTAAGAATAATGCCCATTTTGTTAGCCATTTCTGGTATTCTTGCCTATTTCAGAGCAAGTTCTTTTTGTATAGCTTCAAAGCCATTTGCCTTCAAAGAAAATTTGAATTTGTTTTTAAACCGAGGGAATTTGTCTGGATTCTTCAGCTAGTGCTAGCAAGTGGCTTCCAGACTAAAACTGCCACCAATATTCTCCCTATCAAAGTTTGTTTTCTCTTCACACACGTGTAGGGAAAATCTACACATGTGCATAAAATTAGAGAATTATGATCTAGAACTAGAAAACTACTTTTGGCTAAAATGTCATATTAATTATTTTAAAAATTCCTCTTAAATTGTCCCCAAATTCTCTTGTCTTGTCTAAAATTGAGTGGTTAAAAATAAGGATCTAGGTGTAGGCTCCCTGTGTTCATACCAAGGTTCAACTGTATAATTGCCATGTGATCTTGGACAAGTTACTTAACCTCTGTGTGCTTCAGCTTTCTTAGTTGAAATAGCTAACAACAATACTCCTATTTCATAGGATTTTTTCCCCTTTACAAACTTGGAAAAATGACTAGAATATTGTAAACATTCAATATATATTAGCTATTATTATTGATAACATTATATGTTAACTAACTGGAATTTAAATAAAAACTTGGAAGAAAAATTAATAGCATTTTATAATAGTATAAAAGTCAAGTAAGTCAATCAGAGAAAGACAATTATTACATGATTTCACTCATATGTGGAATAAAAGAAATAGTGAAGAGGATCATAAGGTAAGGGAGGGAAAACTGAATGGGAAGAAATCAGAGAGGGAGACAAGCCAAGAGAGACTCTTAACTCTGGAAAACAAACTAAGGGCTACTGAAGGGGAGGCGGGTGGGGGGATGGGGTAACCAGATGATAGGCAGTAAGGAGGGCACATGTGGTAATGAGCACTGGGTGTTATATGCAACTAATGAATTATTGAATACTACATCTGAAACTAATGATGTACTACTACATGTTGGCTAATTGAATTTAAATTAAAAAAAAGTCAAGTCAGGTGTTACTTATAAACAATTGCTCTTAATTTAATATTTGCTTACTTTGGAGTTTGGCAAGATTAGATATTGATGTTCATGTTATGGAAAAATATTGAGAGGACAAGTTTATCATGTAAAATTGGATTCCAAATGCCTAATAGTCAGATTTTTTTTTTTTTTGCTTCTCTGAACTTAGAAATATGCATATTAAACAAAATTCTTTAGAAAGCATCAGAAGACTGTACTCAAAATAAGTTTACTTCGAACTCCGGGCAGTACTATTAAATGCTAGTAAGACTAGCTACATAAATATAGAGGTTATTTTGCACCAGATATGAGTCAGAATAGCCACTAGTTGCTTTCACTTTGTGACTAGAACCAAACTGTGTCGGCTACCTTTCTAGGTGTTTTAGGAAAAAACAATGGGGTCATGATTCACCTAGTTTCCTTCCTTAAAGTGTAAAAAAAAATAAATTATTCTCCCAAATATGATTCACATGTTATTTGGTAGAGCTTACTGTTAAATATAAAACCCTGAGTTATAAAATCATATGAAATTTTTTATTCTCAGTCATGTGCTCTGCAAAGATTTATACTGTGAAGTTGGTTTCTACAAATGACGTTTACTATAAAAGAATAAATAACTAGAGATAAAGCCATATTATCTTCTCAGCCAAGTAACAGGTTTGACTCATACTGAGCTTGCTATTTAAATCCCCCAGGTCTTTTTCACATAAATTTCTATTCAGATTTCTCCAAATGAATTGGTATAGCCAACTCAGCTTAGGAGTATTTATTTAATTCTATTATATTTCATCTTATATTCAACCTACTTTCAGCTCTGACCACTTCTTCAGGATGTTGTTGAATAGTTATTCTGTCATTCATTCAGCAAACTTGTATTTGAGTGCCTACTAGTCTTTAAGTATTTACTAGACACCAAAGATACAAAGGTAAATAATATATGAATCCTATATTTGAATTATTCACAGTATAGTGAGGGAGGAGGTTATAGGCATCCAAGCACATACATAACGTGCATTATGATAAGAGCTACAATAGAGACAGTATACAACAGGTAGGTAATGAGTGAGTAGTCAAGGCTGCCTGGGGAGGAGAGAGATGAGGAAGGCTCCACAATAGAAATGATGATAGAGTTGATAGTTGAAATAGAGTATACATTTATCAGATGCATAAGGGGAAGAAAAACTTTACAAGTGGAATACCATCCTGTAAAAGGCTCTTGAGACATGAAATGACATGGTGAATTAAGAAACTGTAAGTAAACAGAACTGAGAAGACTATGCTGAGTGGAATAAGTCAAGCAGAGAGAGTCAATTATCATATGGTTTCACTGACTTGTGGAGCATAAGGAATAACACACAAAGGACATTGGGAGAGGGAGAGAAGTGAGTTGGGGGAAATCGGAGGGGGAGACAAACCATGAGAGACTGTGAACACTGAGAAACACACTAAGGGTTTTGGAGGGGAGGGGGTGGGGGGTTGGGTGAGCCCGGTGGTGGGTATTAAGGAGGGCACAAATTGCATGGAGCACTGGGTGTGGTGCATAAACAATGAATCTTGGAAAACTGAAAAAAAAAAAAAAAAGAAGAAGAAGAAGAAGAAGCTGTAAGTAGTACATTATGTCCAGGAACAAGCAGCAGGAGATGATCCTGAGATACAGATGAGACATTTTTTGTCATCTAAAAAAGTAGAGATTTTTGTTTATGGGAAATCACTAAAACATTTTAAGAAGTGAAATCACATGCTAGTTATGCATTTTATTAATTCATTTGACAGATATTTACTAAGCTCCAAATTAGTGGTGGTGGCAAGTGGAGGGAGTGTAGGTATGGACAAGACTAGAGGCAACTAAGGAATGCTGGCAATTATCTCAGCTAAACTGTGTACATTTGAGAGATTTCAGCATATGGGTGATAGGGAAAGCTATGGGAATAAGTGAGATTTCTTAGGGAGAGCACATATAGCACAAAGATTAGAAGGTATAAGACAAATCCTGAAGGGGCTGGCCAAAGAGAAGACTGAATAGAAAGAGTCTAGAAGGTAGGTGGACATTTAGGTATACACGGGGGTAGGGAATTTCAGGAAGAAAAGAGTGATTAGTGGGGTCAAATCATTCAGAGACAACAGGTTAGTTGAGGACTGAGAAGTATCTATTGAACATGGAAACTAAGAAGTTGTTTTTGACCCTTCATGGAGTAGCTTCAGGAGAAGACAGACAGTAGGGAACTAAAGGGTGAATGGAAGGTTAGAGTCTAGGCAATAAACCTACATTATTCTTCCAAATAGCCTGGTGTTAGCTGGAGTAGCAACTATCAGGGGTTAAGGAAAAAAAATATTTTTTTAAAGACAGAAATATCTTAGATATATTTATAGTGGGGAGAGAGGCAGTAAAGGGTGTGAGGTTGGAAATAGAGGAGAGAGTATTTTCTGATAAATCATAATCTCAAATGGGAAGAATGGATTCAAAAAGCATGGGTAGAGGGATTTTATTGTAATGGAAAAGGGACATCTATCCTTCAAAGGCAGGAGGGGAATTAGAGAGGAAGAGATGGAGGTAAGTTTGATGATGACTGTTGCAGAGATCATTTGCTGGTCATGGAAAGCTCCTGACTGGGTTGAAGACTGAGAAATAGAAAAGATTGTTAATAATTTTGAAGGGTCTGTACAGGTGCAATATAAATTGTGGGGTTGGTTCAAGAATGGGAATGTGGCAGGTGGAGGGGTGAGGATTTTAGGGATTTGAGTATGCTGGCTAGAGCATAGACTGAACAGTCTCCCAGGATGGAAATGTCATCAGGAAACGTATTTAAGTGGGACCAAGGAAAAAGTCTATGGCATAGGGTTGGAAACCACCATTCAAGATGACCTAAATCTATTCATCACTAATTTGTTGGTGTTGAAGCAGTGCTTAATCTACCTAACTATACTATTACCCAGTATTTAAGACTCCTTTGTCAAATCCTCTACTGAAATTTAAGTCTGTTTCTTTCTAATTTAATAAAACTACCAAAATTTTTACTTTTCCATGTTTTTAGTGAGACCATACTAGCTTTTGGTGATTACAATGGTTCTATTTGTTAAGTTGTCCTTGTTTTTTTTTAATGGATCCCATCAACCTGACTGTCCTTTGAAACTATATCAGTATACAGGAAATGTAATTCAATGCATGGAAATTTATTGTATTCATATTCTTTTCTTATAGCAAATACCTGGTCAGTTTAGAAATATTTTTATAATGGCTTGTAATTACTTTATTATAATATATGTAAATATATTATAACATATAACATGGTTTTAAATAAATAAACTGGGAGTGAGCAGCAATCTAATGTTGCATGACTTACCTATTATTTTGGAGAGAGCCTGAGCAAATTTGCTATAGAAATAATGTCTTCGTGTAATGCCATGTTCCTTTTTTTCTTATCGTATATGTCTTCTTTGTACTACAGATAGCATTATTGTGCTGAAGACCTATTTAAAACTATTAGCTATATCTTATTTAGAATGGCTGTCTCTGTGTATATACAAGATGTGCCTATAAAATAACAAGGCTACAACTACCTACAAAATTCAGTCCCACTTTGAGTTTTCAAAGAGATAACATGGCATGAAAGACCAGAAGAATGGACCACATTAAGTTTCTTGCATATTCAAGAGTTACTTATCTTAGAGACAATCAGTCTTATGGTAGAAGATATTTTGTCAACAGGTGGCAAATATAAACATACATGATCAAAAATAAACTTTTCCTGTGTTTTCTCACATTTTTTTCTCCGTAGATGTTTCTTCTGGCAATAACATGTGCATTTGTGTCCAAAACACTCTCTGGATCTTATATGAATTCCATGCTCACACAAATAGAGAGACAATTCAACATCCCTACATCTCTAGTCGGATTTATTAATGGGAGCTTTGAGATTGGTAATGAATTATTTTTGCATTACTTCTTTTTATATTTTATTTTATCTATAAAGCTACTTTGAATTTTATTCTCCTTACTTGCAATCTTAGGACATCTAATCTAACTGAGTAACATGTTTTCTAAAAGGAATGAATGGCCTTGCTAACTTTGGAATATTCATAGAAACAATTAGTTTAAATATTATCCCCCAAATAATAATCAAATATTGCCACATATCTCACCATCGGAATTTTTACTGTAATAGTTATTGGTTATCTAGTATGAGTAGCATACTAGAAGAATTTTTGTATCTAATCTATCATTTGATAATTTTTTTTAAGATTTTATTTATTTATTTGACAGGCAGAGATCACAAGTAGGCAGAGAAGCAGACAGATAGAGAGAGGTGGAAGCAGGCTCCCTGCAGAGCACAGAGCCCAATGTGGGGCTCGATCCCAGGACACTAGGACCATGACCTGAGCCGAAGGCAGAGGCTTTAACCCACTGAGCCACCCAGGTGCCCCTCATTTGATAATTTTTAAAAGCTCCATCTTCCTATTTAGAAGATACACATCATGGAAAACAAAGGAATCTGTTTTCTAGAGGAAAACATGAATATTTTTCTTCTGCTATTTCTGGGAAGTTAACAATTCTTCTTTCTAAGTGCAGAAGGAAAAAGAAACTGTTTTTCTATCTCCCTGAATTTATTTAAGAAACAGACTCTAGGAAAGAATAGAATCTATTCTTACTGTCTGCTTTTTGTGGAGGACTGGGAAGATGTGAAGACACAGGAAGAATGAGGAAGAAAAAGACTTCTCCTGTAAACAAAGCTGCGTAGAACTATGAACGCCTTTCTTTCACAGTTTTAGAGTAGTTTCTACTTCCTTCAAGGTGCAGGTTATCTTTAATATACTGGAAGAAAAATTTAATATCTGGAAGAAAATTTGGGTTTGAGGAGAGGGAAAACTGAAACAGGTGATGCTTGATCTTGTCTCCCTCCCCCAGACACAACTCTGCACCACTCATGTGCTGGATCCTGGGGATGGAGAAAAGATATAACTCTTTATACAGTCCAGCCTGGACCCAGCTCACAATCTAAGGGATGGCATTGATGTACAATAATAATTTTAATTGAATGCAATAAGTTTGGTGGTATAGGTAGGTGCAAAGTCCTATAAGAACACACATCAGGGACACAGCCTTACTTGGGGAAGATGTTGAAAGATAAGTAAAAAGCTTTCTAGGTGAAGAAACAAGGATGTGTGTGAAGGGAATTTCAATAGAAGAAGCTTAAGGGCGAGATAACATAGTAATTTGTATGGGGAGTAACATTCAGCCCAATATTATTGACTCACAAAGCTTATGTGGAATTTATTAAGATAGGAGCCTGGAGAAATGGGCAGGGGTGAGAAATGGACTATGGTTAGCCTTGCGTGCTTGCTATGGAATTTGCATAAAATAAAAATTATAAAAGTAAAAAAAAACTTTGAGTAAAGTCATCAAAATATTAAAATGACTGTCATATAGTAATATTTGTGCTTACTAATATACTAAACATAATATCTACACTAATTTTTTAAGTAATAAGTAGGGTTGATATTTTGAGGTATCTGCAACAACTGTAGTATCATAAGCAAATATCTATAACTTCTATTGGTGACAATCTGTGACAAAATCTTAAGTACTGTTAATGCCACATAGTTTATACCTTCTCTCACTATCAAAGAAAATGCTAATATTAATTTTAATTAAAACTTAGTGAAAATAAAAGACGCAACTTTTTTTCTCACTCAAGTTCATGGAACCCCTGATTTCTATTCATGGACTCCTTGGAGGTTTGTTTATACACGACAGGTTAAGAGCAGCTATTTAAAACAAAGGTCAGGGGCACCTGGGTGGCTCAGTGGGTTGAGCCTCTGCCTTCGGCTCAGGTCATGATCTCAGGGTCCTGGGATCAAGCCCTGCATCGGGCTCTCTGCTCAGCAGGGAGCCTGCTCCCCCCCTCCTGCCTGCCTCTCTGCCTACTTGTGATCTCTCTCTCTCTGTCAAATAAATAAATAAAAGTAAAAAAACAAAACAAAGGTCAGATTTGCTTTTAATCAAGGCCATGCTTGTGGCTATGTTAGAGATAAGTTTAAAGGTGGCCAGCCAAACAGAGAGGATCCTAACAGGATAACACAAAAGCACAAGAGAGAGCTGTCTGGGTCTGAGTCAGGATCATACTTTCGAAATACAGAGAAGAGGGTGACCTACAAAATACTGAGGAGTTAGGTTCCTGAGAACTTAGTGGAAGATTAGATGTGGCAGATGAGAAAAGCAGGAATCCCCAGATTTACATCTTGGGCAGTGGAGTGGATAGTGGTACTGGGACAGAGAATAGGAGAAGGGGGACGAGATTGTGCTGGTGGCTATGGGGATGATGATGATTTCTGTTTAGGCAAACTATTTATGGTATTAGCAGTGAGCTCTTTGACTAATGATGTCTGCATGGCAGTTATATGAGCTAGAAGCACTGGAGGAACTGTTTGGGCTGCAGCTACTGATTACTGAGTAAGCCGGTAATTGTTAAAAGTAAAGAACAGATGAGGCTATTTAGGGAGATGGTAAAGAGAGATAAGTACCAGGGACAAAAGGTGGATCCCTGAGGTGCACCAATATTTAAGGAACAAGTGGAAGAAAGGAGCCCACCAAAGTGTTAAGAGAAGGAATAATCAGAGAATTAAGAGGGAAATTAGGAGAGAATATTATGATAGATACCAAAGGAGTAGAAATTTCCAAAAGAAAAAATTGTCAGCAGTCTTAAAAGCATTAGACATATCCAGTTAGACAAGGATAGAAAACTATACCCCAGGTTTTATAGTATGATAATTATGATGTTGGCCAGGGCACTTTTACCTGAACAGTAGATAGAGAAGCTAGAAGGCAGGAAGAGCGCAATGACTTTGGGAAAGATGGGGAGGGGAAGAAGTGGAATCTGTGACTACAGGTGACTGTCGGTTTGGAGAGAAACTAGAGAATATCTGTAATTAAAACACAGCAGAGAAAGAGAGACTTAAATTGTATGAGACCATGTTCTCCATACCCTTCATAAAATCTTATCTATCCATTTCTATTCCCTCTCATGTGATTATTTTATCGACTGAAAGAGGCAGCTTGAAAAGCTCACCCTTACGTGGAGAGGAGGCTCTTCCTCTCTTCTTGTTTCCAAAATGGATATGGATTTCCAATGGTGAATTTCTAGAGATAATACCTTCAACGTGGATGGCTTTGATGATGGGGATTTTAGAAACCTAGGGAGGTCACTGTGGTAGCACTTGGTGGGGCACTGTCTACATGAAAGAATGTAGGTGCTGACATCTCTTCTTCTTATAAGGCAGACTAGAGAGAAACATATATGGAAAGAAAAGTCTTCAAAATATGCACTACTACTTGGAAAATTATTAAAAACTTAAGGGAGAGTCTTTTAAATTTTTATAGTTCTCAAGCTCATCATAGAAGTTTTCCTATGCAGAGTAGGATCAGGGAAAATATTGATTACTAAATTTTAAATGTATCATATGAGAACTTCCTCATGTGTTTTGTTCTTACAACCTTTTATGCCATTCTTATCAAGGGCTTGTCCCTTAGAATGGGGCCTCCACAATTAGTTTCTTTATCCTTAAACTTCATCCTAAGACGTGGATAAATTTATTATTGAATTGACTTCTCAAAGCAAGACTTACTTCTAAGACCCAGTTGGAGAAGTGAGGACCTACTATTTTTTACTTCTAAGGGTAGAAGTAAAATTAGACAGAGATCTCTGGGTTGGTTATATTGACCAATATTTAGTTATATTTAAATCATGAGTTAAAACATATATCTATCTGAATTTGACTTTGGCTTCTCTTTTCAAGCATGGAGCAGACATGGAGAGAAAGGCCAGAGGTGACATAAAGTCTAACACCTACTTTGGTATCCCATTTTTCTAAGCTACATAATCACACACACAGTTTTTAACATCTCTTAGAACCATTGCTCAGTCCCTTCCAATGGCTTCTCTTCTGCCCTCTTTAAAGATTTTATTTATTTATTTGACAGAGAGAGATCACAAGTAGGCAGAGAGGCAGGCAGAGAGAGAGGAAGGGAAGCAGGCTCCCTGCTGAGCAGAGAGCCCTATGTGGGACTTGATCCCAGGACCCTGAGATCATGACCTGAGCCTAAGGCAGCGGCTTAACCCACTGAGCCACCCAGGTGCCCTGCCCTCATTAAATATTCGTGTTCCACAGAGATCTGTTTACATATCTGTTGAGATTATGAAACAGAGTCATTCTTCAAGGCAGGAGTTGTGTCTTATTCATTTATTGCTTCATGCATTGCTAGCACCAGTCCTGGTACTCAAAATACTTTTTATACAATAAATGCCAGATAGTAAATGACTGGATGAAGCTAAGCTATTGATCATGCTTATTAAGATATTCATTTTTATCTTAATTTTTTCCTAGGAAATCTTTTGTTGATTATATTTGTGAGTTATTTTGGAACCAAATTACATAGACCTATACTGATTGGTGTCGGATGTGTGGTTATGGGCCTAGGGTGTTTCTTGCAATCTCTACCTCATTTCCTCATGGACCGGTAAGTATTCCAGTTTCTGGTGACTTTTTATGTTCAACTTTTGGCTGCATGAAATGAAACTTGAAATTCCCTTTCTCGGAACAATACTTCCTAAAAGCACATAGCACAGCAATGGGAGCTGAAAGATGCAGATTTCGTTCCACAAGTCAGTTGGGCTCTAGGCTGCCTTGCTTCACTTACATAGTCACATTTTCTCCATCTATGAAACAGAGATTTGGGACTTTATGGAGTGGAGTCTGATGAAAAGAGTCTTAGGACCTGGTAAAATGTCTTTAGACACTTCTAATCACAATTACAATTACAAAGGTTCTGTTTACTTGTATGTAGGTCACTAAGAGACAGACCAGTCTGAAGGATGGTTTTTATTTTAATTTTTACCAAAGTAATATGTGCATCAACTTGTAAAATTTATTTTGAAAAAAGAGTTGTCCCCTATCCCTTCAACATTGTTCATATTACTGCTTTTCATGAGTAGCTACTTGCAAATCTTTTAGTACTTTCTTCTGCTATTTGTCTCCATGGTTCTAAGTAAATGTTCATCCTTTTAGTTGTTAATACTTTTGTGTTCTGTAACGTATATTGATTTTCTGCTATAAAATTATATTCACTATTTCCATGTACTATGTAAGTGTCTTTCATTGCTGAACCATGTTGTTATTCCTTTCTTATATCATCTTTATTTTCCTTGGATTTAATAATTGTTCCCTTTTTACTTGAGTCATTTTCTTTCTTTCTTTATTTCTTTTTAATCTCTCACTAATCATCAGCAAAGTCTCCACTGATAGGGCAACATCTCAAAATGCTCATACATATCACAGGGTCTCATTTTTGTCTTAGAGATAGTTCTATGTCACCATCAATTCTTTGTCTGCAGTCTGAATGGGAATCTCCCCAGGCTTGGTGCATGGCTCCTCCCTTGAAATCTTTCCTCACTGTTATTCTTGGAATTTGTTTGCTTCTATTCTCCATTTAGTTAACTTATATCCTGGCTATCATATCTTCTGCTTTACTTTTTACTCTCACTCCTTTTTGTGGAAAACATAATCTAATAGGTTTCTGAAAAAGTATGTAAAGGAAGTAGAAATTTTAAGACTGTGAACATCTGAAAATAGTCTATTCTACTCTCATATTTGATTGATAGCCTGGCTAATATAAAATTCTAGATTGGAAATATCTTCCTAACGATTTTGGAGACATCATTCCAATGTTTTCTAGTTTCCAATGTTACTATTGAGACTCTTATGCCATTCTAATCCCTGTGACCAGTTTCTTTTCTCTGGGAACTACTGGGGTTTTCTTTTAAGCTCCGGAGTCTGGATTCATCATAACTATCTTGGTATAAATCTTTTTCTTCTATTGTGCTAGGTGCCTTCAATCTGGACAACTTACATGTATTATTTCTTTGATGATATACCTCCTCCCCATTTTCTCTTTCTAGAACTTCTACTATTTGAATTCTGTACATACTGGATTAAGTTTATATATTTCTCATCTTTTTTTCTCCAATTTTCTATATCCTCATCTTTTTGTAACTTTTTGGGAGACATTTTTATCTTCCAAAGCTCTGAATGAATTTCTAACATTTGCTATCACAGTTTAAATTTTCAACAACTCTTTTGATCCTTGAATGTATCTTTTTAAGGAACATTTTGTTCTTTTTTCAAGAATGCAATGTCCTATTGTAAATTTTCTTTGTCTAAATTTTCTTCATCTCACTTCATTGTCTGTTTTCTGTGAGTGTACAGTTTTTATTTGTTTCTGTCTCTATCTTTACTGTTACAGGCTTTCCCCGTATATCTGGTAGTTCTCGGTTATCTAGTCATATTTAAGAAAGAGGAATAACAACAACAAGCTAACTGGAAGTTCTGTGTATGTGTATAAGGCTTAATTAATGGTGGACTTCTTTGTAGGGTGATTGTATAGGGACTGGCTATTTTTTAGGTGGCTTAGAACTGCCCCTAAACAGTGAGTTTTCTTAGGTGGTGATTCTCCAATTTGTTTTCTGGGAGGTTGGAGCTTGGCTACCAGCACATGGGGGTGGGAATCTCGATTTTCAGTATGTAGATTTTTTTATCCTAATGTCTGCAGTTTTTAGCATGGCTTCCCTAGCCTCAGTATCTATTTAGTCTCTAGAGACAAAGGCCATAATCAGTTGCGATGGCAGAGGATGTCTATAAGGGCTTAACTGCTCCTTATACACACTTCAAAGCAATCCTCTTTTGGGACCATGCATACTCTCACATTAGAAGTATCTTGTTTCTTGCCTGAAGCTTTCCAGGTTTGTATGGCATGTGTTTAGTTGCTCTCCTATAGCCACTTACTCGGGGTTATGTTTCTCATATCCACAATTTCAGTGATCATTCACTTATCTGCTTTTTTATTTTCAAAATCCTATTAAACTCTCTCTTCTTGTCAAATCCTCCCTTCTCTTTATCCGCATAGTATTGTGTTTTTTTCCTTTCCTATTTTAAAATCCATTACTACCCATTTGGGGATGTTTGGGGAATGAATAGACATGGAATGAGTTACTGGGTTTTAAGAAGTAATTTAAATGAAAAAGATACTCCAACTTTCAGTTATTTCTGAAGGTATCAGAGGTTTCAAGGAGAAGCAAGTAATATTCAGCTATTATTTTAATTTCTTTCTACACTCTGTCAAAGGTTTTTTGTTTGTTTGTTTGTTTGTTGGGTTTTTTTTTTTTTTTTTTTTTTGTCTGAAGCTCCCATGTCTCATAGGATCATGGGCTTGGAGACAGAAGCCTTTGTCCACAATTCATAGCCAAATTCTATGGGTATCTCTGGGCAGTTATTCTAAGGGGAAGGTATTTTAACCCTTTTTATTATGTTCTGTAACACAATGATTAGGACTTTTGGTGACATCCAAGCATAACACTCTTTAGCTTATTTGAAACTCAGAAAGGCAAGTTTTCTTTGGCTTTCTCTTCTCTAATAGAAATATAGAAACCAACCCAGGGCAATTTCTAACAAAGAGACCTGGACATATTTTCCCCCATTGTTGCAGCATGTAATTTTCTTTCTGGGAAAAGGCATGTGGATCTTGTGGTAATTTGCCTAAGATAATGGTCACAGATTATTAACACTTTTGTTCTAATGAGAAAAGAAAAAGTCATTACATTGTGCTGCCACAGTGTTTGAGATTCTCCTAAGGTTTCTCATTATGATGGGTACATGTTTTGTTTCTCTGAGGACACTAATGAACACATGAAGGGATTTTTGTTTGGATTCTCAGAAATGGGAGACCTGTTTTGTTGTGTTGTTTTTTTCTCCCAAAAGCCTTTAATTATATTTTGTTGAGTCTATTATTTTTCTTGGTTTCTGTTCCTTCTCCCATAGTAATTATTTCCAGGAAATGATCACCTAAAAACCACTGAAAGTTAATGTCAGATGATTTAAAAAGTAGATCATTCACATACAGATAATTGAAAGCTAGCTGTCATGGGATTGTACCTTGACAGTGAGTGGCAAATTCTTTTTTATTATATTAATTTATGATGATTAGGTGGCAAAATGAAAAGAAATCTTTCCTGGATTTAGATGTTGTGTCTTAAGTGAAGCAGGAGTTATTCTGCACAATGCTCACATTGTCTTCATTGGCTTCTTAACATCACCATGTTTTCCCTGTGTTCATACAGATATGAATATGAATCTACAGTTTCAGTTTCAGGCAATTTGTCCTCAAACAGTTTCTTGTGTATGGAAAATGGAACCCAGATTTTCAGACCAACAGAAGATCCATCAGGTTGTCTACTTCATTGTACTGCTTTCTGTTCAGTGAATTTGTAACTGAACACTTTCTGCTGAGGGGCTTTGAATGTTATTACGTTTGGTTAAGTGAGTAAGGTAAATGAACAAAAGAAAAAATTTTTTTTCAGAGATTTTGGAGGAGATCATGGAAGGAAATTGAAAAGGCCCATAATTTAAATGTTATTCCTCTCACATTTGAATATACTTAATAAGAATGTCTTATCTATTCTTTGAAATGGTTAGTTAAAAATAAGTCAAAGACATCCATCCAAGGACCACTTAGAGTTAATTCCACAGAGGAAAACATCTTAGAAAGAGGATTTATGCTGATGATTTGTAAATGAGTAGCAGAAACAAAAAGATCTGTGTTATAATAGTTCTTCTATAGCAGAGAAAGCAGGCAAGTATGCTGTGACTCTGATTTACTCTATTCTCTTTCTGCTGAACTAGGACCTTCTCTTTCTGCTCTACTTCTTCCTCTTTACCAGAGATACCAATTTATATTCTGACACAATAGTGGTGCTTCTTCTGGCTTCCAGCAGTCCCAGACACCAACATGCCAGCTTCTGCTCCTTCATATGTGAAGGGACCTATATAATCATCTGGTGATGCTTAGTCTGGAACTAACCCACTGATTTACTTCAGACCAGAACTTCTCTTCCTCTGATGGGGACATTTTTATGCTGGATTCATATCAGTAGGAGTTACATTCATCCCCAAGGCTGGGAATTTCACTGCTGGCATGGAATCAGAGGAAACTAAACAGTTTCAAGGAGTGTAAGAATAGCGGTCTCAGAAACTCTAAGCCAAAGCAACTCCCTGGGGAAACAAACAAACAAACAAAAAAACCCTGTGACATCAATGGTGGCCTATATTCTTTTCTTGAACTGACTTTTTCCAAAGGCTGACCTAGGTCCTATTTCCTATTTTTTTTTTAAATCTGCATTGTAGTAGATAAATCAAAACCTTCCCAGTCTAGTGAATTTCCAGAAAAGTACATTAATTCTTTAATCACCTGACATGTTAAATTTTGTCCTGGAGTAGGCCTAGAATTTGCCCATGATCTCTAGACACTGTGCTCACCATGGGTGGGGGGGAATACCCAGAAATGGGCATTATGATTTTCTGGACTGGGAATAACTGAGAGATAAACCTCACAAGATATTTCCAGGCCCAGCTGAGCTCAGGAGCCTCATATCTATGGGTACCTGGGCAGATTGTAGGAGACAAAAATAAATTGTCATTCACTTTTCTGAAAACATGACCCTAAAGAGTGTCTTCCTGGCTTGATAGCCATGTGGGCTTAGAACAGAATTGGCTGTTTTCAGACAACTGCCTATCTTCCTCCCTTTCATTCCCTTTGGCCTACTCTTTGTTACTCCACTGAGCAGCGCTGCTTCAAGGATTGGGGTTGGTTTCTCTGTTAAAAATTATTTGGTGGTTAACAGTATACAGTAGGTTCTATAGAGAAAATGTGATTACTACCTGATTAAATATTTTTAGTTTCTTTAAAGTAATTAGAGCTGTAGAGAATTCAAACTTCAGAGAGATTCTTATTGAAATCTCACAGTATCAATTCTAGAAAGAGATATTTGTGTTTGTTTTTTTCTCTTCCCTAAGTTAGTACAGAAGTGGGGTAGCTCTCACAGCAGCCAGCTGGGTTCAGTAGGTGCTGATAGACTGTCTCTCTGGAGGGAAAAGTTTCTGGCTTTTACTGTTTGTCAATCTGTGTGTGTAAATACTGCCATCAAACTACCAATGTGTTGGCATTAAATACTAAATTGAAAAGAGATGTGTATACCACTCATCTATTCCAAAACAGTAGGAACTAGTTCCAACATACCACTTACATTTGGCCATACCTAAGTACCCTGTCAGAAAATGCAAATAGGATGGTCCAATAATGCATAGCTGACATAGTAGTATAAATCATTGACAAGATGCCATGTCACATAAGAATTGAAATGTTGGGGCACCTGGGTGGCTCAGTGGGTTAAAGCCTCTGCATTCGGCTCAGGTCATGATCTCAGTGTCCTGGGATCGAGCCCCACATCGGGCTCTCTGCTCCGTGGGGAGCCTGCTTCCTCCTCTCTCTCTGCCTGCCTCTCTGCTTACTTGTGATCTCTGTCTGTCAAGTAAATAAAGAAAATCTTAAAAAAAAAAAAAAAAGAATTGAAATGTTGACCAAAAATCTAGAATTATGTATTACTGATACTTTACTACCAAAACACTAATACAATATCTTTTTTTTTTTCTTTTAATACAGACTGTGTGAAAGAAGTGAAATCATTAATGTGGGTGTATGTACTAGTAGGAAATATCATACGTGGAATTGGCGAAACTCCCATCATGCCTTTGGGTATTTCCTACATAGAAGATTTTGCCAAATCTGAAAACTCTCCTTTATATATTGGTGAGTTTGAAAATCTGCCTTAACCTCTTCTCAGGAAAGGAAGTTCCTTACAGGTGGATGTCAGTTACTTGGAGTCAGTGATTTCCAGAATGATGAGAAGAGTACCTTGGTACAGCTGGTCATCAAGAAAAGTTTACCAAATTGAGCTAACTCCAAATAAGCCTCTTTTCTAACTCTGCTTTTTGCTATTAAAAATACCACTCATCTAGTACCCCTGGAGTTCTCTTTGACTCATCCATTTCCTTGACACCATTCTATACCAAGTCTGTTAAGTGACTTACCAATGTTTTCTTTAAAATGTCTCTTACATTCAAAATCTTTCTCACTATTTTCATTACCTCTATTTTTGTTTGGGTCTTCATTACTTCATCTATAGATTATTATAACATCTTCATTGGTCATGTTATCACTAGCTTTTTCTTTCAATTTCTAATAAACACTCTTGCAGTATATTTTTTCTCAAATAATGTTTTAATCATGTCTTCCTTACCATGTCAATAAAACCTACTAGCTCTTTCTTTACTAAATCTAATCTCTCCAATTACTACTCAATCTGTTTGGTTTCTTCACAATCTCTCCATGCTAGTCAGGCTTTTTCAGATTCTTCATAAATATCTGGTTCATACTTTTGGTTATGTTTCTTGAAATTTCCTTTTCTAAAATCAATCAATGTCACCTCCCACAATAACCAAAATAAGATCTGCCTTCTTATGTAGTCTACTAATCTCCTAAATCTTCTTAATTTATTATGAATAGTTTATTTGTATTCTTTATTTGTTCAATCTGTTGTTATTTATAAAAGTGTAACTTTTAGTTTGGACATATTTTGCTGTTAATGTAGACATATATTTTAAGAATCAGAAATGTCAAAGAGGGTGAAAGAAAATTGGAGCAGAGTTATACATAATTGAGATAGATCAAAATATTTAGAGGACCTTACCCCAAGTAATCTTTGGCATTTTTTGCTCATTCATTGATTTTTCAATAAGCTTTTTTGATGTTTTTCTTTTCTGTCCTTTCAAATCCCTTATTTATCTTGAAAGAATACAAATATTTATCTTGAAAGAATACAAATGCTTGCCTGCAATAAATCCACAAACACCTTGTTATAATCTGTGTTTCTTTATTCAATAAATACTAGGGTATATAATTTATGGAAATAATAGTAATAATCTCTATATGTACTAAGATGAATAAGATATAGTCCATATAAGTTTTAGTATATAAATAACTACATAATTATAAATCAACCAAATCTGATAAATACCTGTGTGTAATTAAATTAGAGAAAAAATCAGACTTAAAAAATGAAATAAATAAATGTGCACATGCATATAATTAAATAACTATAAATCAATAAGCTACACAATGGGAGAAAATAGTTCCATGTATGACTTTGAAGTTTAGGAGAGATCAGAAAAGTAGAAATGAATGTTGAGAGTCACTTACATAGAGAAAACAAATGAAATTAAGAGAGAAATGAGGGGCGCCTGGGTGGCTCAGTGAGTTAAGCCTCTGTCTTCCACTCAGGTCATGATCTCAGGGTTCTGGGATCGAGTCCTGCATTGGGCTCTCTGCTCGGCAGGGAGCCTGCTTCCTCCTCTCTCTCTCTCTCTGTTTGCCTCTCTGCCTACTTATGATCTCTCTCTGTCAAATAAATAAAACCTTTAAAAAAAAAAAAAGAGAGAAATGAGTGGGCACCTGGGCGGCTCAGTTAGTTAAGCGACTGCCTTCAGCTCAGGTCATGATCTGGAGTCCTGGGATAGAGTCCCACATTGGGCTCCCTGCTCAGCAGGGAGTCTGCTTCTCCCTCTGACCCTCTCCCCTCTCATGCTCTCTCTCTCTCAAGTAAATAAATAAAATTTTTTTAAAAAGAGAGAGATAGAAATGAGTTAGTGAGAAATTCTACATTAAAACACCAAGGAACACTTTTAGTTATTGAGAAGAATGGGAAGAAAAAAAATCAAAGGAGTAGTAACAAGGGAAAAAGTAAACAATAAATGCATAGTTGAGTGAAAGTACTAGGAGGAAATGTCAAAAGAGGAGCTAGCCTGCAGTGTCAAATAACATAAAGAGTTAGGAGAATGGAGACCAGAAAAGGACACCAAATAAGTGGCAAAAAGGACACTGGTGCTACCTGCAAGTATTTTGAGAAGAATGTGGAAGAATTTGGGTAGATTCAGGAAGTGGTGAGGCTGTAAATGCAGAGCAGTGAAATGAAAGCAAGCAGGGTGGATATGTGAGATATTGTAATCAGTGAACAGGGAAGACCAAACCAGCACACACACAAAAAAACATGTCTAGTTGAGCAAGACCTCAGAGAAGATAGAAGGGATTGAGGTCAAGTAGTCAGGTCTGTGGATGGGGGGGGCGGGTAGCCTATGGAACCATGGAGAAGGCAGAAGACATATTTTGAAGGAAGACGCAGCACACTGAAGAAGGTTATGTCTGTGTTTTCCGCAGCAGGGATGGCTCAGCCTTGATTCTGAATCGCAGGTAGGCCATGAGCTCACCGACGATGAAATTCCAGATGAGTAAGAAGTCATGAGGGCAGAGGGGACTGATGAGAATAGAAGGCAAGAATGTGGAGGATAAGAAAGAAGATCATGATCAAAGAAGAGAAGTATCAGTAACAGTGAGAACATAGCCAGAAGAAGAGGTTCCAAGTCAGAGATGTGGGAGTGAAGGTTTTCTGAGGAACATGTCATGAGAAAATTATCATAACGTGGTGTTGGTCTGGAATTCCTCCAAAACTGTGCCTATAGAAAGCAGCAAAAGAATCTCACTCTGTGTTGTGGTTTTGTCAACAGCATGATCCCAGCCAATGCTGCTACAGCAGATTTTGCCTGCGATTTATCACACAAAAGAATTTGGAGGACTAGAGAATGTGGCTTTAAATATTGAGGTTCTTTTTCTCCACATTAACAGAAACAAACTTTTTACTTATACGTACACCAAGCTTAATTTTCTCACAAATTGGGAGTTTAAGGCAAACATATCTGAGGCACAATGCGTCTTCAGACTCTATGGAATTAGGACTCTTTATGTGGGTATATAACTATACTATAACTTTATATTTTCATTTATTTTTAGGGTTTGTAGAAACAGGAGCTATCATTGGTCCTTTGATTGGACTTTTGTTAGCATCATTCTATGCAAATGTTTATGTTGACACTGGATCTGTGAACACAGGTAATTCAATAAAATTTATTTATAGTGTCTAGAATACACAAATCACCTCCAGTTATGTTTCCACAGGTCATTCTTACTTTAGTGGGTTCATGTGTGCCAACTGGAGTAAAGGAGTTTAAATAATTTTTCAAATATTTCAAACCAGGGGGCAGGAAAACAAATTAAAATGTTGACCTTCTGGCTCAAAATCCAGTGCTCTTTCTATTGTGCCACAACCATGTTTCCTTTTCTCAAGAGATATAAAGACAACATAGGTCTGAATTTCTTTTAATCAAATTATTATTTATATGTAATTAGAGCTTATAGTTATTTAATAAGTATCTGTTTATAAATTTCCTACAGGAGAGGACAGAGAACCAAAATAATTTATTGCTAGGCCATATTGTAATACCACCTATCATTGGACAAATTTTACGAATGTCTAAGTTGTTTACAAATTCTATACTTGGATAAAACCTGAAAACTGTAATATTAATAATTTTCTATAGTTCATGCGGGAATTATGGTTCATGACAAGCTAATAAAAATGTGTATATTTCTTTACAGATGATCTGACCATAACTCCCACTGATACTCGTTGGGTTGGTGCATGGTGGTTTGGCTTTTTGATTTGTGCAGGAGTGAATGTGCTCACTGCCGTTCCTTTTTTCTTTCTGCCCAAAACGCTTCCAAAGGAAGGACTAAAGAATAATGAAGACATCATTAAAAATGAGAAAGAAGAGAAACAAAGCAAAAAAGTCAAGAAGGAAAAGGATGGAATCACTAAAGGCAAATATAAAAATTCTAAATACCATATAATTTACTTTTTGTTCTTTTTAGAGATGTGTCTATATTTCACTTTAACACTGTATCATGCTAGGGTGCATTAAGATAATTTGTCATTAATAGTCAGTAGTCAATAATGTCTAACAAGTCTGAGTCTTCCTGTGCTACTACTTGGAAATAAGTGATATAATTTGGAAGCCAAATTATCTGTTATCAACATATATACAAAATCTCATGTTAATTCAGGCACTAAATAAATTAATTCTCATTTGCCTTTAAAAAATCCTTTTTTATAGAGAACATAGGTTTAATTAAAAAGAATCCAAATAGAGAACAAAAGGAGGAAAAATATACACTATTGCAAATAGATGTATAGTTCTGAAACAACAATAACAACAAATGTTAGCTTAACTATGAGCTTCCTGCAAGTTAGGGCAGAAAAAGAAAAGAGAGGTCACAGAACTCTCTATACTTGATAGAGAGAAGAAGAAGAATTCTCAAAGAGAAAGTGTTCTCCGAGTAACACACTAAAAAAAAGAAAAACTTATCATATGATGTATAATGCAAGCACTATGGAACCACATAGTTTCCAGCAAGTACAAGTGCATACTTTATAGAACATTTTTTTTTCTTTTTGGATACATCTTCAATAAAAGCTCAAAGAATAATTTACAGAAAGTGTTTCTGTGGGAAACTAAGCTAAAGTAATCTAAGTATTTAATGTTCAAGAACGTTGATTCTCAAACTGGTCCATATATTGGAATTACCTGTGAAATTAAAAAAAAAATACTGATGCCCAGAAATATTGTAGTATTCCCAGGAGGTCCGATTTAATTAGTATGAGGTATGGCCTGGGCCTTGGAACTCTTAAAGGTTGTTCATTTACAAGGTGAAGAGAGATTCAGTCTCATCTGTAAAATGGGTTAATAACAGTACTTATTATTACAGAGTTGTCGTGTGAGAGTAAAAGGAGCGCTGGCACATATTACTATTATTACTGCTACTAGTATTAGTGTTATTACTGTTGATGATGCTACTTCTACCATCACCCATAAATTATAATACCAGTTTGCACAGAATTTTTTATTAACAATTACACATTCACTTAAACTGTTATTAAACATAATACTTCTCAGATCATTTGAAGCCAATTCAGAACTTTTCAAAATTCTCAGAGTGGTCATGATTATACTCACAATTCCTTCTGAAAGGTTGATACGGACTGATAGAAGATTTTAACATAGAATATTGTTTGTGATCTGCAAGATCAGTTTTCACAACTAGGGAACAGCTGAACTTAGTATGCAACATATAGAAAAGAGATTTGAACTACTGAGACTTACCTACTAGAACAGAGATGTCAACAAACCTGGACAACTTAAAAATCTCCAAAGTGCTCTGAGCACTTCTCACCTGCCATGTATTTTATTCATAAATAGGAATTCTACAGCTATAATAGGTTTCTTTGCATTAAGCTATGCACCCTTCTCTCTCTGAATTTATTTATTGATCCTTTGGATTCCAGCCAGTTTATTGGGCAAAAAATACACAGTAAGTAAGGAAATCAAGACAAAGAATGTGAAGATAGGAAAAGTGAAAAGTAATTATAGGTGAGACTTTACCCCCAAAATGGTGGCAGGATGACTTTGGAACATTTCCAAGAAATGGGTCACAAGTTTGGCCCTGAGCTGTGTCAGTCCATACTGACAGTGGAAAGTTTGGGTTATATCATTTACATAATCCTTAGTAAGTACCAAATGAATCAAGATCTCAGAGAGTAGAACCTGGGAGTTTGTATTTTAAAAGATCCCTAGGTGGTTTCATTGTGTGTCCAGCATGAACTACTGGCAGGACCAAACTGTCATTCTGTGGCAGTAGGAAAATACCCAGCACTTGAGAAAATTATATACCATAAATTCCCACATATTTTAAATGGTCAGGAACAATAATAAAATATTTGAGTGTGAACTTGATCAAGTTGATCTCCTTCTAAACTTTAAAAAAACAGAACAAGCATCTTTCATTCTAGGCAATCTATAGAAAAGAGAGGATATTAAGAGAAGGAAAAAAGGAAGAAAAATAAAGAAACTGGTGTGAACACAGACAATATTTGGATTATGTTATAATTTTTCCTTAAGACACAATAGTGACTTAGTGATAGTAAAACAGTTGTGTTCTGCTCCCTGCACAGTCAGCTGCATTACTGACTTGCAGAAGGTACCAAAGTGATATAACTTTAGCTTTCAGGAGGTAACAAAATAAAGCAAAGCAAAACAAAAACAAGTATGTGTACCATAAGCAGAAAAACTTAATTTGAGAGGGGAGGTTGCTGTTTTAGAAAAAGTCATTTTCAAAATGCAAAGTCAAGCTATTGTCATTCTTTCATTTCAGATTTTTTACCATTCATGAAAAGTCTTTTATGCAACCCAATTTATATGCTTTTCATACTAATTAGCATTGTACAGTTCAATGCATTTGTTAATATGTTCACCTTCATGCCTAAATATCTGGAACAGCAATATGGAAAATCATCTTCAGATGCAATCTTTCTAATTGGTATGTTTATTCTTCTCTATATCAGTAGCTCCCCCCCCCTTTTTTTTTTTAACCATGAAAGGGTAAATAGTGTGATGATGATGGGTCTAGCAAACTCCTAAACTGAAGTATGTGGAGATGTTTCTGTCTCTGGCACATTTCCCCCTTCCATTCTCCAGGGAAATCAGCAAGGAAGGGAAGGAAAGAAGCCAGGAAATCCTGGCTTTCTTTTCTGGTCTTTCTCCAGTCAGAATGCAAATTCAAAATATTTTTGGAAATCCTGGGGAATGTACGGATTAGAGATAATTTTCAGAGAAGCAAACCACTGATGCAAAAAGGAAAACAATGTTAATTAATTAGGAGTCTGAGTTTTACTCTTTTAACTCCAGGTTATGAATTCCTTAGTTCCTTGGGCCCTCTGGTGGTTTGAGGCGTCTTTACAGCCCAAGCATTCTGTTTCTCCAGAGACCACATTAACTCCAGTGGCTCTCTTCCACCTTGGCTTTCCCGTGAGAGCTTTTTACTGTTTTGAAAAGTGAATTTCCCAGACTGCCTGCAGCCTCATCACCTAGAGTGCTTGTTAAAAGTTCAGATACCTGGTGCCCACCTCAAACATACTAAATTAGACAATCTGGTGTGGTATTCTGGAATGAATTTTTAACCAGTCTCCCAAGAAAATGTTGATGGGATTCACTTACCCTGGCATTGTAAGGATGCAACCAAGCACTGTCTTTTCCTTTTTCTTGATGTTTCCCCCTTTTTTAGGGAGAGAGACACGAAATGTAAATGTACTTGACAATCACAGGCTCAGCAATCTTCCAAAGTATCTTGATCGAAGTCAAATTCTCACCATCTAGAGTGGGTATAAACAACCGCAAAATCATATTAATCATAAATTAATGGCCAACTTTGACTTGTCACTCCTACCTGAACCATTAGAAGGAAATGTAGAATATGATCCCTGCATATGAGAAATTTACAACCTACTATAATTAATTAAAGGAAGAATAGTGATAACAGTCTTCAAAATACTTTGACATGGTGGGGCATTTAAAAATCTCTCTGTACGTAATTTTATCTCCATTTAGTTAATATATCCTAACAGATGTGAGATTATATTTAGTTAATATAATGTGTTAGGATTCAGTTATGCTGGATGTGAGCCCATTGTGGAAACATATAAAGGCGACTGAGACTTTATAGGTAATTCTTAATTTTACCCATTTATGAAAGCATAAAGTATATGGATCATATATCTAATACAACCTAAGACATGATATATATATACATGATATATTAACTAACTGGAGATAAAATTCAATCAGCTTTATTCACTGTGAGTTGGACCTAAATGGTTTCTTACGTAAGACATATTAGATAAGTGTTATCATATTTGTTCTTTTGCTAAGTCTCTTTGTAAATAACATTTTATTTACATTTATAGGCATTTATAACTTACCTCCAATATGCATTGGATATATAGCTGGTGGTTTAATTATGAAGAAGTTCAAGATTACTGTCAAACAAGCTGCCCACATAGGATGTTGGTTATCTTTAATTGAGTATCTTCTCCATTTTTTGTGTTTTCTCATGATCTGTGATAATTCTTCAGTTGCTGGCATAACCACCACTTATAAAGGGTATGTTGTTTTCTAATGAATATCATACTTTTAGGACAGTTAATAATGTATTTTATTCAATGATTACCCTTGACCAGATCATTAGCTAATTAGAATTCCCAACAATAACCCATGGTCTTTATCTTTCCTCCATCTGTCAATTATAAGCCTAGTCCTCCAGGCTCTAGGCTTATTAAAGAGGTTGGGAACATATCATAGGGTTAGTGAGTTTATGACTGCACATGTGTGTATATGATACTAGTAGATAGTAAAGTGGATATCAAACAAACTGCCAACAGTCTTAGGTTGTATTAAGATATATGATCCATATACTTTATACTTTCATAAGCGGGTAAAGTTAAGAATTACCTATAAAGTCTCAATCACCTTTATATGTTTCCACAATGGGCTCACATCCAGCATAACTGAATCCTAACACATGATATATTAATTCATATGTAAATTCATACATTTCATTTGTCTAATTATGTCTCTATCGTTGAATAGTTTTGGATATGTATTTGAGGGTTATCTGAATTTATGGGAAGGTTATGCATAGTAATGTTTTCTGTTGACTTTTGATAATACATCCTAACAGACGTGAAATGATATTTCATTGCGGCTTTGATTTTTATTTCTCTAATGACTGGTGATATTGAGTATCCTTTCACTTCCTTATTGGCCATCTGTATGTCTTCTATGGAAAATTCTCTGTTTAGTTCCTCTGCCCATTTTAACACTTGGTCTTAATCAAAAGGCTTAAAAATGATCCTCCGCCAATTTTAAAATCAGCTTGTTTGCTTTTTTGGTATTGAGTTTTATTAGTTTTTAGTTTTTGGTATTGAGTTTTATTAGTTTTTAAAATATATTTTGGATGTTAATTGCTTAACACATATATGATTTGCAAATATTTACCCCCATTTCATAAGGTGTCCTTTCATTTTGTTTATGATCTCCCTTACTGTCTGGAAGCTTTTTAGTTGATGTGGTTCCACTTATTTTTGCTATTGTTACTTGTGCTTTTTTGTGTCAATCCAAAAAATCATTGCCAAGATTGATGTTAAAAAGTTCACCCACTATATTTTCTTCTAGGAATTTTATGGCTCCAGGTCTTAAATTTAAGTCTTTAGTCCACTTGAGTTTAATTTTTGTGTATTGGGTAAGATAGTGGTCTAGTTTCACTCTTTTTATGTGGCTGTCCAGCTTCCCAACATCATTTATGAAGAGAGTATCCTTTCCCCACAGTAAATACTTAGCTCTCTTGTTGTAAATTAACCATATATGCATGGTTTATTTCTGGGTTCTCTATTCTGTTCCATAATTTTTGTGACACTTTTTTATGCTAATATCATACTGTTTTGATTACTGTAGCTTTGTAAAACAGTTTGAAATCCAGAAATGTGATACTTCCAGCTTTGTTCTTCTTTCTCAAGATTGTTTTGGCTACTTATTTGTGAGTTCATACAAACTTTAGAATTGTTTTCCTATGTTTATGAAAAATGCCTGTGGTACGCTGGAATCTGTTTAGGGATTGCACTGAATCTGCAGATTGTTTGTGGTAGTGTGGACACTTTAGCAATATTAATTCTTCCAGCCCATGATCTTAGAATATCTTTCTATTTATTTGTGTCTTCCTCAGTTTCTTTCATCAATGTCTAATAGTTTTCAGTGTACATATTCTCACATCCTTGGTTAAATTTATTCCCTAAGTATTTATTCTTTTGATGCAATTATTGGATTGTTTTCTTAATTTCTCTGCCAATGTTTTGTTGAGGCTGAGCTTCACAAGGTGCTAACCATGCTCTACTGTTGGGACAAGGTTGCTAGCCAGGCCCTCTGGAGGAGAGAGGCCTCTAGCTGTATCCCAGAGTTAGGTGGTACTAGAAACTGCGTCCTCTGGTTGGGTAGGATCACTATCCACGTTTTCTCATCAGGTGAGGCTGTAAGCTCTGCTCCATGATTGGGTAGAGTCACTGACTAGGTTCCCTGCCTGAGCAAGGCTTCACGCTGTGTTCACTACTACTTCAGGTAGTGCCGAAGGCTGGCCTATACTACTGGGTGGTGCTGTAGTCTGGGCTCTTCTGAGGTTGCCCAGGGTTACTGTTCAGGCTCCTTGGTTATGTGGGGCCAGAGGTTACATTTAACAGTAGGGCAGGGCTATTAGCTTGGCTCCCAGACTGAGCAGGGCTATAGGATGGACTCTCTGGCTTAGGTTCTCTGGCCAGGCTTTCTGGATGGGTGGGACTGGAGGCTGTGCTCAGTAGTTAGGCAGGTCTGTGAGTTTGCTTCTCTGCACAAACAGGGCAGCTGAACTGTCTCCACAGCCACTATGGCCTGTTGACTAGGTACCCAAATCAAGCAGAAGTGCCAGTTGAGCTCCTTGGCCAAAAGAAGCCACCATTCAGCTCTATAGATGAGCTGTACCACAGGCTGGGATCTCTATTTGGTCAATGCTGCAAGTAAGAATACAGTCTGCCAAGATCTGAGTGCTTGCTTGCTATAATCCCTGTCCCCTTTCTCCTTCTTTATCTAATTCCTCATAAGTGAGGCCTGCAGATTCTCCCAGTGATCCTCATGAGGTGAGACCTGAATGGGCCTCCTGGGAAACATCTCACAATGCCGAGGGAGTTTGATGTCCACCTTGGGTTCTCTCTTCCCACTGGCAAAATTGTAGGCCCACGGAGGCCTTCTCAGTGAGGCGTTATGCTGAGCTGGCTGTGGGACAATTTGTTTAGAGTGCATCTGCTCCTTGTACCATTCCAGTGTGGTCTCTCTAGGTCTTCATGGTCCAGGGGGGTACTTTAGCTTCACCCCCAGGTTCTGGGATTTTCACTATGGTATCTTATCTATGGATAGCTGCTAATTGGTCTTCTTGGGAGGGAGACTGGTCCAGAACAACCTATCTTGACATTTTGATGACCACTGCACATACTTTATACTAGGAGAATGTATTTGTTTACTCAAGTAGTTAGCTTTCTAAAGCTAAATGTACTATCTGCATTACAAATTGAACTTACAGATTCTGATCTTCAAAATTGCGTTCAAGCATAAGTTCTCTTGTTACTACCATATGGATCAACCACAGGGATTCAGTCATCTTCATTTTTGTGTTCAAATAATACCTGAAAAAGCACCTTCTATGTGATAGGCACTCAGTTAATGCCTGTTTTGGCTATTTCTTTATCTGAAGAAAATCACTGAAAAGTGGCTATGTGGTCACCATAACAGATATTTTTTAATGCCAGAGCTTAGTACTGAGTCCACACATGGATAGTGGGAAGATTCCTGTTTCTACTTTGGGGAGGAGAGGAAATAAAATCTTGGATTAAGATGAAAAGAAGAAAAAGAAAATGCTCTGATAGTCTTTCAACATTCATGCATTATTTTAAATCATTTCAGAATGCAACAAGATTTATATGTGGGAAATACCATCCTTGCTGATTGTAACAGGGATTGCAACTGTCCAACTAAAACATGGGACCCTGTGTGTGGAAACAATGGTGTGTCATATATGTCAGCTTGTCTTGCTGGTTGTGAGACATCTGTTGGAGCAGGAATAAATATGGTAACACATTCTATTGGTCTTTTCACAGAACTTTGGTTTTATGCATTGCACTGAAAACTTCCAACATGAACTGAGTCCTCATTTGATAAAAGTAAAATTGAAGTCTTTCTGAATGTTCATTTGATTTACTTTTTTTTTTTAATTTATGTATTTGAGAGAGAATGAGTGAGAGAGAGCATGAGAGAGAAGGTCAGAGGGAGAAGCAGACTCCCCAAGGAGCCGGGAGCCCGATGCGGGACTCGATCCTGGAAGTCCGGGATCATCTTATTTTAACCCCTTAATGTCTGACCACTAATCTTTTTCTTTAATTTTTTTGAATATAGTGGACACTGATCACTGATCTTTAATAAAGCAGTAATGTCATTACTCAGATAATTCATTTTAAAAATATTCTGGACTAAATATTTTTATCATTGAGATGAAGTTGGTGGTTTTTATCTCAATTATCCGGCTAATTGCTTTGCCATTTTTTTCTCCTTTTCTATATTTTTCACATTCTGACAGCTTTTTAAGAAGATGGAATTAGCCTTTTTTTTCTTTGCCTAAATAATGTTACAGTATTTAAAATGTTGGTTGGTGATAAAGTAAAACTTTCAAAAAATTTTCATAAAATTCTTATGAAAACCTGGAAACATACAAGAATTTTTAAAGGATTGATTTTACTCTGTTTTTTGAAATGAACTGTATTTTTTGAAATAAAGCTTTATTCATAAGTATCTAAATATTTCCACTGAGTGTTCTGAAGCAAACTTTATTATACTTCCTGTTGTAACAAAACAGTATATGTTTTTAAAAGACATGACTTCAGAATATATGAGCTATTGCAAATTTACTTCACATATTTAGAAAGCAATGCATTTTTCTAAAACCGCCTTTCCATGTCTTGTTTTATGCTATAATCCTGAGAGGGACCATAATTGAGATGAGAATAAAGGGAATAAATAGTCTCCATCTTGATCCAGTTGGCTATGTAGAAAATATTTGTGATTTGTGTTCAAAATTTTACTTTCTTAAATAGGATAATATATTATTTTCACACAGGTATTCCAAAATTGTAGCTGCATTCAAACGTCAGGAAATTCATCTGCAGTTCTTGGACTGTGTGACAAAGGACATGACTGTTCCATGATGCTTCAGTACTTTTTAATCTTGTCAGCAGTTGGCAGTTTTATTTATTCTTTATCTGCCATACCTGGATATATGGTTCTCCTAAGGTACAAAAATCATTTTCTTTATTTGGATTCTTTTTTGGCCCTTTATTAAGGTAATTTTTTCTCAGAAAGCCACTTGGAGCCCATGTTATCTAAGAATTCAGTGCTTTCATGTATCACTTAATAAGAGTTCTACATCGTTGAAATTTTATAAAATTTTATAGTTCAGGTATATGAATATTCACCTTTTGGAATTTCTCTTCCTAACTTCTCCTTTATTTTTTGCAGTTAAATTATGTGAACCTCTCATTGTTTAACACAAGAAGAGACATTTATATTTTAGTATAAACTATATGAAATGGTCATTTCAATAGGTAAAGAGTAGTTGCCTAGCAGTCATTTCATATGGCTCAAGCTATAGAACATCAAGTGTAAAGCCGTCAGAAGCCTTGGTGTCACCAATTACTATCTAAAGGACATTAAACGGGTCACTTACTCTGCGCTTCATTTTTTTTTAATAAAAAAATAAGCGTAACAATAAATGTTCAACTCTTTTTACAAGTCTGTTGTGAGAGACAAATGATGAAGGGCTTTTTCAAACTAGGAAACTGCAGAGCTCCAATTCAAACTTAGGTGTCGTACACATGTGTTCATGGAATTCCAGCATTCTTCATACCTAGTAAACAATCACAGATATTCCTAGTGAACAAAATTTGCATTTCTTTCTCTTTTCTTCATATTTTATTGGAACTTAGAGGCAGAGTTAAGATAATTACGATTCTCAGTGCATAGCACATTATTCTCATAGACTGGGACAAGTTTTCATTCTTGTTTTACTTTGCTTTTTTCGTTCCATTTTTCACGTCTTACCATAGGCACTCACATAAATATGATAGCTATATGATCTTAATGGATTGTCCTTTGTAAAATGCTAATTTTTTGTTGGTATGTGCTTTTGTATTCACACAGGAGCTGTTGTGCTGTAAATCTTGTTTTGGTTCATAAGGCACAGGCATACATAAATTCACCAAGTACTGCTAGTACTTATGAGTTATTCTCACACCTTTACTGCGAGGGAGTTCCTACACTTACAGCCTCACTAACACTTGGAATTATCTAACTTTTGGACTTTGACCACTCCAACAGGTCTAGAATGGTAGTTCACTGATGTTTTAATGTGTGATTTCCTGATTCAGTGTGTTTAAGCATCCTGTCAATTTTTTTTTTTAGTTCTAGGCTTCTGCTTCAAGATGCTTATTGATTTTCTTTGTCCATTTTCTATTATATTTCCTACACTTTTCTTGGCAATTTTGATGATTCTGCTTAAATTATAAATATTAATATAATATTGTTTACAGGATACATTTATCTCTTAGTCTCTCATCCTTAATTTCTCCACAGTATCTTTTATGAAATTAAATCCTAAATTTTATCATACTGAAATTTATCATACTGAAATTTCTTGCCTTAGGATTTTTATGTTGGGGAGTCATTTTTTTTTTAATATTTTATTTATTTATTTGACAGAGAGAGATCACAAGTAGGCAGAGAGGCAGACAGAGAGAGAGAGAGAGGAGAAAGCAGGCTCCCTGCCAAGCAGAGAGCCCGATGCGGGACTCGATCCCAGGACCCTGAGATCATGACCTGAGCCGAAGGCAGAGGCTTATTAACCCACTGAGCCACCCAGATGCCCCGGGGAGTCATATTTTAAAAGTGTTTTTTCATTCCTAATTTATAAAAATATTAACCTAAGTTTATCCTAATATTTATAGTTTCACCTTTTATATATGGTTCTTTAAACCACTGCAAGTCTATTTTTATGTGTGGTACAAGGGGGACAGATGTTCAGTGTTATTTTTTCTCCATATAATAAAGTAGTTTTCCCAACATCAGTATAAATAAGAGGTCCCTTCTCTATTGATTTGTGGTACCACCTTTATCATATCTCATGTTTTAATATTACATGAGGCTATTTTTCACTTTTATTCTTATTCCACAGTTTTGTCTGCTCTCATACTGGTACCATATTGATTTTATTACTTTGATATTGTGTATGTTAATATCTCATATGGTAACTCTTCCTCACCCACCCACAACTGTCATCTTTACTCTTTCTTTTTTCTTTTCTTCACAAACTGATTTAGCTACTGATGTATGGGTCTTTATACTCACATAGGAATTTTGATGGAGTTTGTGTGGACTCATAGAGTAACTGGAGAAAATTTGGCATCAAATTTTTGTGAAATATCTTCTGTGAATATCTTTCCATTTATTTAAACTTTCTTCTATAAATACCATACACACACATATATCCAAATATATACATATATACAAGATTATATCATTCACAATTATAAACATATACATATCCACATATATCTACACACGGATGTGGATGTTTGTATGAATACATACTGGTATGTATTTATTTGTGATTATAAGTGGCCCTATTTTCTCTTATATTTTCTAGTTGGTTATTATTAATTTAGAGGGATGCTGTTAATTTTTTAAAGTTTAGTTTTTAATTTTTCTTATTATAATAATTTTTTGATTTTGTTAGGCTTTCTATATAGAAAGGTGTACAAATGTGGAGAGTTACATCTCTTCACTTCTAAACCTTACACATCTTAGGCTTTTTAAATTTTCTTATCATCAACTTGAACCTCCAAAATTATGTTAAATGATACTGGTGATTGTAGTGATAGTGGTGATAGTGAGTATTCTAATCTTAATGGAAACCATATAAATTTTTCCATTATGATACTTGCTGTAGATTTTCAGTACATAGTTTCCATCTAGTTTCTAAGTCTTTAATAATGAAATGGGTACAAAACTTTATTAATTGTATTTTTCTGCATCTATGATTCTATAATTTTTCTACTCAGTATTTTTAGTGTAGTAAAATAAAACAGTTTTTTATGTTAAACTGATTGCATGGATGAGAAAAACCATACTTATGGTATATTTTTATATATGATTTGGTTTGTTTAAACAATACTTTATTTAAAATTGTTATATCTATCTTGATAAGTGAAACAGACCTACTATTTTTTTATTCTTGTTCTGCTTTGGAATCATTTGAGACCCCACAAAATGAATTTATAAATTTTCTTTTTTTTAATTTCTGGAACTACTTATATTAAATATCTATCTGTTGAAAGTTACATACATCCACCTGTAAAAATATTTATACTTTGGGCTCATTTGGACAGTGATATTTGATTATTATTTCAATTTTTTCAATGTTAGTGCCTATTCACATTTTCCATTTCTACTTACACCTGTTGTATGCTTGTTAGTGAATAAGTGTTTATAATGTTCTTTTATCATTCTGATATTCTCTGGTATATCTGAAAGGTTTACTCTTTTTTCTTATGTACTTTTTTGTTCCTTCATCATTTTTTTCTTGATCATTGTTGCCAGAGACATATGTTTTATTTTTCTTCTTTTAAAGAATCAGTTCTCATTTGGTTAATCTTTATTTCATGTATTTCTGCTCTTTTTAATTTTTTTTCTTTTAGGCTTGTTCTGTTGTTCTTTATCTAACTATTTGAGTTTAATACTTAGATCATTTGTTCATTTTGACTACTATAGATGAAACTATACATTTCCTCCCAACTATTACTTATTTATGCCTCAATTAATATTTTCTTTGAAGTTTATTTTGAACTATTTTGCAATTTCTGTTATGATTTGCCCCACCAGACCAAAGCTTATTTATTAACATGTTATATAATTTTCATATTGATTAGAACTTTCTATAGATATACGTTTATTATTGTTATTTCATTTTTATGTTCAGAGAACATAATCTGAAAGATTACAGGTTGGGAAGGTGAGATGTCAAGGCTTTCTTTGGGGCCTAGTGCATTTTTTGAGTACTTCACATTTTTCTGAAAAGAATAGGTAACTTCTGCATTTTGTGTATACAGTTCTCAGATTTTTTGAAGTAAAGTACTTTATTATTGAAATTTTGTAAATGTAATTTATCAGTTTTTCAGAGATAGGTGTTCAAATCTCTAAATATTGCTGATATATTTCTTACTATAATTCTGTCAGTTTTTAAAAAATTATGTTCAGTTAGCCAACATGTAGTACATCATTAGTTTTTGATATAGATTTCAACAATCCATTAGTTGCATATAACACCCAGTGCTCATCACAACATGTGCCCTCCTTAATACCCATCACCCTTTTTTTTTTTTTTAATTTAGTATTTGGAGGTTATATTATAGGATTGTATGCTTTTGGTCATTGTACTTCTATTATTAGCATCACTTAATTCTCTTTATCTTTTAGTTATTTCTTTCAAGGAATTATACTTTGTTTCTTATTAAAATTGCAGTTCTAGCTTTCTTTTGGTTCACTGTTCCTGTTACATCTTTTCCTTTCCCTTTATTTTCAGTCTTCAATCTTCCTTTATGCTTCATAGATAATCTGTAGGTATGATTTTATCATCTAAAATTGGTACACTTAACCCATTTATTTTTTTTATAATTATTGTGGCAAAGCTCTTTTTACTATTTTACTTAATACATTCTATTGATTTTACTTTCTTTTTCTTTTTTTGCTTTCCATTGTACAGTGAAACCCCTTATCTGCAAGGGATATATTTTAAGATCTCCAGTGGATGCCTGAAACAGTGGATAGTACCAAACCCTACACAAATTGTGTTTTTCCTATATATACATAATTGTGATAAAATCTAACTTATAAATTAGGTACAGCAAGAAATTAACAATAAAATAACTAATAATGAAATAGAATAATTGTAACAATGAAAGTTAAGTGCATGTGGTCTGTCTCACTATTATAATATCTCATTGTGCTGTATTCACCCTTTTTTTTTTTTTTAGATTTTATTTATTTGACAAAGAGAGAGAGAGCACAAGTGGGGGAAGCAGCAGGCAGAGGGAGAGGGAGAAGCAGGCTCCCAGCTGAGGAAGGAGCCCAATGTAGGGCTCGATCCCAGGATCCTGGGATAATGACCTGTCCTGAAGGCAGATGGTTAACCAACTGAGCCACCCAAGTGCCTCTGTACTCACCCTTTTTCCTCCTGTGATGATATGAGATGATAAAATGCCCTCATGATGAGATGAAAGGAGGTGAATGACATAGGCACTGTGATATAGGGACTGTAGCCTTCAGCTGCTTTTGATCTTCCAGTCCGTGGACCATCTGCTTCTTGACTGCGGGTGACTCAAACCACAGAAAGTGAAACCACAGATAAGAGGGAACTGCTGTGTATATTGGATGTTCTGTTACTACTTTGAAAGCTGTATCTTTGAAATGGTTAAACCTGATTATTGAAATTCTTAACTACATTAATGTTTTACTTATCAACTTCTAAACTTTTTAGTATTAGTATCTACCCCCTAATAAAACAAGTACCTAATCAGGTTCTCTTCATGTCTCTATTTTCTTCCCCCATCTCTTGCCAGAACAATATTGTAGAATTTAACCCCAAGGTTTTTATTAATATACTTATGTTTGTCTCTATTTTTGTGGAATTTCCCTGGATCTCCTACCTTGATGGTAAAGGGGCACAACATCAATGCTATCTGCCAGTTTAAAGAATGATTTCAATTTCTCTCAGCATTTTTGCATGATTTGCATGCTAATTTTCTGATTCTTGAATTCTAGAATTTACCAACACCAATCAGTGAAAGTGATTACAATAACACTACGTTATTATCAACACAAATCAATGATTATAGTGTTCAGTTGAGTTTTGCGCTGTTAAAGGGCTTTTATTTGTGAACTTAAGAGTCTTTAATCTTTCTGATTTTGTATATATGCATGTGTGTTTGTTTCCCCTAACTCGACATGTGCTCATATCATGTGTGGAGTTTGTAGAACTGATTAACCAGATGACCAGACTATTTCATTAACTTATTTTTTTGAACATTTCCAAATTAAAGTAATTTTGTAGTGAAAAAAAATAAAATAAAAATAAAAATAACTCCTTCTCCTCTGCCACGCCACTGCCTTCCTTGTATTCATAGAACAGTTTAAACTGTTCTATGTATTCATAGTTTAAATAATTGTAAATTATTTTATAATTTTTTTAAAAGATTTTATTTATTTATTTGACAGAGAGAGATCACAAGTAGACAGAGAGGCAGGCAGAGAGAAAGGAAGGGAAGCAGGCTTCCTGCTGAGCAGAGAGCCTGATGTGGGACTCGATCCCAGGACCCTGAGATCATGACCTGAGCCGAAGGCAGCAGCTTAACCCACTGAGCCACCCAGGCGCCCTAAATTATTTTATAATTTAAATTATAAATTTATATTTTATAATATAATAAATAATGGTTTAAATAATTTCTTTGTTATTAGTATTTCATGCTTCTGTGAGATCATTAAGGGCTATATTAGAGATAGAGGGGAAGAAAAAAATTTCAATAAAATTTAAATGCCCTATTTTCTGTATTAAATGGAAACCGTGGGACTAAGAGGATCATGCTAGGTCTCCTGGCTTTGTTAACTACCTTCTGAATAAATCACTGATGTTGTCTAAGTAACCTATATGTCAGGAAGATAATGTCTAGGTCAAACTATGAGATTTTTCAAATTTAGTAAAATACTTACATTGAGAAAATGCCAATAAGATGACATTTTTGGTAAAAATGTATTATATGCCTTTGTGAAGAAAGCAGATTTTATTTTCTCAGCTTTGTGTTGATCAGGGAAGGGAAGGGAATGCAGTGGACTTCTCTAAGTGAATTCTTTGGGGAGTTAGCCATGTTGATGCTGGAGTGAGTGGGACACAAAAAGAGCCACTGGGGAATTATAGTCTCCATTTCTACATATAGGAATTTCAGGCAACAGTGCAAAAGTGGTGGAATTTTTGGAGAAAATGGAGAGATCTGTGTGACTCGAAACAGTACCAAATCACATAAAACATGTTTACTTTGGATTTCTTTGTTACATTCCTTTGAAAATTTTTATTTCTGCTTTTTTTCTGCCTTCCATTTACTTATACAAATTCTTGGCTTTTCTGTATTTTGTCAATACAAATGACTTAAATACAGTGAGGGTTGCATAGTTTTGTTTTTAGTCTGAAGGTTTAATAAAGAACTGCCATGTCAATAAGTGGATATTGGCGAGAAATTGATATGAAATATTTTCTTCTTTGATAACTCTGAATGAGTTATCAAGTGAATGAGCAAAAAATGATGGGTAAAATGCCAAGGACCAGAAGTAGAGGTCCTCTGTAAGCTATATACTGGATAATTATTCTTGAATAACCAAGACCTGAGCATGCAAAACAATTTTCTAGTGCCCAGTGTGTTACCAGCATACAAAGAGTTAAAAAAAAAAAAAACTATGACAGTGTTTAAATCTCTACTTCTATTTTATTTGTGTATTTACTTATTTTTTAGGTGCATCAAGCCTGAAGAGAAGTCTCTTGGTGTGGGGTTACATACATTTTGCACAAGAGTATTTGGTAAAAATCATTCTTTTTTCCAGCATCAGACCATTATTAAATACTAAGTAAATGAAATCATTCTCCCAGAGTAATAGTCTAGCAAATATCTCTTCTGCTTGCAGCACTTTGTAATTTATATGAGAATGTGGTACAATAAGACATGGAGAACCCCCCCCTTTTACTTGAAAAAGATCTATCTGAACTTAATTCTATTTTTCATCTATTAGAAGATTTGAAAATCAAATGAACAAAAATGCGTTGTTGAAGTAAAATATACACATGATCGGTTCAAAACACTGCAGAAAAAAATATAAAGAATCATTAATTCAATGTAATAATTTTATGCTGCATTTATATATTATATTACTTATCTTTTATAATTTAGAAACTTTATAATAAAAGTACTTTCTAATTTCTAAAAATAAAACAGAACATTCTATTCATATTTTGTTAAACTTTATTTGTTCTACAAATAGAGAAAATTAAAATGTTTCCAAACAAAATAATGTGCCTTAATTTTTTCCTTGTTGATGGATTTTTCCTTCTCCTCTCTTCAATTGTAGCTGGAATTCCTGCACCTATATATTTTGGAGCTTTAGTGGATTCCACATGTTTACACTGGGGAATTTTGAAATGTGGTGAGTCAGGGGCATGCAGGATATATGATTCTACCAACTTCAGGTAAAGATAATAAATTTTTTGGAGAATTGCTTTCTAGGCACAGGCTGTACATAAAATAGTACCATTCATGTGTAACATTTTCTTTGTCAGATACTAGACTACTTTTGGTTGTGTTTCCAGAATATATATTCTTTTGTTATTATGAGTCTGATTTAAAAAAATACTCAAAATAATATTAATGTGTTTTTTAACAAACACTTCCATTTCGCTCTATTTTCATATTTCTTTTTCATTTGGAGACCTGAACTGTTAAATTTGTATTAATTTTTCTTGACAGGGCAGTTCGAAAATGTTTTCATTTACTAAAAAACAATGTAGCATTCTTTAAAACTCTCTAAGGTCTTACGTTGATTAGTAAAAGGATCTATGTGAAGAACTGTGAAGGGTGCAGACAGCATGAGACTCATGTTTTCATCAGTTTTCTGTTCCCCTGAAGCTCTGCAGGGGTAGAGTGGAGGTGGGCCCAGGCACAAACTGTGCACAGCATGTGTTTGCTTCACAGTTGAGAAACCCCAAGGGCCCCTAATGTAGATTGGCCTAAGCCTGCTGCCAGGATTCCTGTTGATAGCAGCCTTAATTAAATGCTATTTCAGACAAAATAATTATATTTGGTACCAAACTCTGTGAGGTTAATTAGAGTAGCTGATAAAGTACACTCATGAGAAAATTCACCAGATGTTAATATTGCTTAGAAATAGGAGGTGGGCATTGTTGGTAGACAGTTCTCCATGGGTCTCTTTTACATTTCTGCATATCTTGTTAGCAGAGGCTTCTGCTGTGGACTATCTTCTCAAGGATGTTTGAGTAATAAATGACCTTGGAAGATATAAGTGAGGTTTATTTTCTATAGAACAGAGTTTTCTGTCTAAGATGATAAAAATATTAACTCTCTCTAGGGCAAAGGTTGGCAGATTTGCTTGTAGCCCACTTAAAAGAATGGGATTTCCTTAACTTAGGGATCCTTAGCCATGATCCAAACCTACTGTGTGCACAAAATCCACGTAGGTCTCTCACTGTGTGATTCCTTTCGGACTTGAAGGTTAAGGAAAACCAACCTGAATTTGCAGCTTTTGTTGATTGTTGTACTGTGAGTAAAAAAGTCCTGTGTCTCTGACCTGGAAGTCTTGTATCTTGAATCAGCATCCATGCAACTGTGGCAGGCTAACTTGTTAGCTCAAAATCCAGGTAAAATCTAGAAATCTTTTGTAGTTTTTAAGAACAGAAGTACTGATTAAATTTTACCAAAAATGTAAGGATATAAGGATAGCCACTTACATTTATTCTAAGCTACTTAGAAAGGAAGGAAAGGATTAAGGAAAATTCAATGAAACTAAGAAATAGGAAAATAAAAGCATACAAAATAAGTTGAAAAAATAAACCTAAATATATCAGATTTAACAATAAATGTAAAGCAAATGAACTTGCTTCTTAAAAGATAGTGACTTTCACGTGAGTTTCAGTGTTTTCAAAATTCTAGCTATATGTTATTTACAAGACACAACCTAAAAAATATAGTGAGAGGAATGTTCAAGATAAAGGTCAGAAAAATATACCAGGCAGGTATTAAATCAAACTCCTGTGGTTATATTAATGAGTCTGAGACAAAATAGAATTTAAAGTGAAAAGGATTGGGGAACCTGGGTGGTTCTGTTGGTTAAGGATCCAACTCTTGATTTTGGCTCAGGTCTTTATCTCAGGGTCATGAATTCAAGCCCTGAATTGGGTTCCATGCTGGGTGTGGAGCCTAGTTTAAAAAAATGAAAAATTTTTAAAAATTGAAAAAGATTAATAGAGTTAAAGAAGGATATTACACCATAAAAGATGTAACACTTTATCAATAATATATACCAGTAATCAGCCCATATATATCTATCAACTTAATCTCAAACATATAAAACAAAAAGCTCACAAAATTACAGGAAGAAATATAAATCAGAATGGAAAATTTCAACAAACGTTCCCAACAAGTGAAGAGAAAATATAGACAAAAATTATTTAGGATAGAGAAAAGTGTGAACCACCAAACTGTACAAGAGTCATCTAGTAGATATATATCAATTTTTAAAAAGCTCAACCAATGGAATATATATTTTCTCCAGCCTATAATAAACATTTATTACAACTAAGTCTAATGCCACAAAGTTAAAAAAAAAGTGTTGAAACCATGTAACCACTATTTTCTGCCCATAATGCAATGCAATTAGAAATCTATGATAAAATGTTACCAAAATCTCACATATGAAATTACTTATAGGTTAAAGAATAAATAATTTATAAAAAATAATGAAGGAATAAAAACTCTATGTCAGTGAAATCATTGAATAGGAAAACTTCTGGGACAAGGCTAAACCAGTACTCAAAAGTTTATTTAGAAATTTGAATGTATACATGTTTTTTTTTTTTTAAGATTTTATTTATTTATTTGACAGACAGAGACCACAAGTAGGCAGGGAGGCAGGCAGAGAGAGAGAGAGGAAGGAAGCAGGCTCCCTGCTGAGCAGAGAGCCCTATGCGGGGCTCGATCCCAGGACTCTGGGATCATGACCTGAGCCGAAGGCAGAGGCTTTAACCCACTGAGCCACCCAGGAGCCCCGAATGTATACATGTTTTTAAAAAAGACTGGAAATTAGTGAACTCAGAATTTAGAAAAAGGACAATGCAAGTTCGAATAAAGTAAAAAAATCTGATAAATAATTCATTAAGTTATGTATTGATATATTTCCTGTTTCAAATAAGAACAATAGATACAATATATCTTTTTAATTCTAAAGGGATATATCTGGTTTCAAAGATAATGTAAACATCATTCTGGACATTCAGTTTTCCTGAACTAGAAACTGAACAGAAACATAAAGGCTTAAATAGAGCTGAGCACAAAGGTTGAATGCAAAGCCTCTAAACCTAGAAATGGACAGTGGTTTCTGGATGATCGGCTTCAGAGAAAATAAAGTTCTTCAAAAGAGTCAAGAGATTAGATCCAGATTCAATGTTGTAATCCATGAGGTGGTGTTCAACACCCTTGGACAGAGCTGAGTAGTGTCCCTCAAAATTTCACATCTACCCATAGTCTCAGTATGTGATTTTATTTGGAAATAAGTCTTTGAATTAGTGAAATTAAAATGAGGTCATATGGGTTAGAATGGGTCCTAATTCCAATCATCAGGGTCCTTATAAGAAGAGGAAAGGAGGCACAAGGGCACAGATACACATGAAGAATACCGTGGAGACAGAGGTAGACATTTCAGGGTTGCATCTACAAACCAAGGGATGCTAAGGTTTGCTGGCAATTACCAGCAGCTAAGAAGAGTCAAGGAAGGGGTTCTTTCCTGGAGCCTGCAGAGGAAGCCTGGCCCTGCCAACACCTTGACCTCCAATTTCAAGCCTTCAGAATTGTGAAAAAATAACTTTGTTTTAAGCCATCAAGTTTGTGGTGCTTTGTTATGGCAGCCCTAGGAAACTAGTACAAACCTCTTTGTAAAAGAGATTTTGGAAGAATAAATATAGTGAAAGAACACCAGAACAGTCAGCAGCAACAACAAAATACTCAAAATTGTTTAGTTTTGCCAGCTAAAACTTAAAAACACATGAACAAATCTAATGGTAAAAAAAAAAAATGCACATAAATTACCAGATGAAACATGGCTTCATTCCAGATTAAATTTAATATAATTTAATCTGTTTTAAATTATATAATCTGACAAAGACTTTAAAATAAGTATGCTTAACCAGTACAATAGGTTTAAAAATAGTAAATAAATGACATAATGTCCATTAAAAATGAATAACAACTTATAAGAAAAATCAAGCAGAAAGGAGAATGCCAAAAGAACTCTTGGAAATACTAAAGAATAAATGTATAGCATTGAGATAATAAAAGGAATCCTAAGTATGTAACAAATTTCAAGCCAACCTAATTAAAATGAGAATTGGTGAACTGAAAAAAATAATTATCCAGAATGTAAATCAATAACCTAAACTGATTCAACAAAAATGAATGCTTAAATAATATTAAAGATCAACTAACAAAATATACACCTCAAAAAAAAAAGTTCTAGGAAGAGAATGGAGGAAGTGTCAGATATAAGAATTAATGGCTTAGAATTTCCTGGTATTTGAGACATGAATTTTCATATCAAAGATGAATTCTGAATAGAATAGAATAGAATAGAATAATAGAATAGAATAGAATAAATATAAATGGACATACTAGAGTAAAATTACAAACTTTCAAGATAAATAGAAAGAACCTGTTATGAAATAAATAGATGGCTTACAAAGAAATAACAATTAGACCAATAGCAGATAGGTACCAGCAACAATAGAGCTTAATATCTCTGATCCTTATTACTTTGGGTTTGAGTCAAAAACACAAACCACATAGCAAGAAATGAGCAAATGTGACTATAAATTTTTAAATTTCTTTAAAATAGAAGACACTGTAGATAATGAGGAATGTTGGTAGTGAATAAAAACTAATGAAGAAAACTTTTGGACAATATCTACTAAGTTGTGTACTCTACAACCCTGAGACATATTTTAGAGAAACTCTTGTTCACGTACACAAGGAGACATATAAAAGTTTTATTGCAGTATTGTTGATATTAGAAAAAAGTTAAATAATACAAGTGCCCAATAGAGACCTGGATTAATAAATTGTGGCATGTTCACAAATTGAAATGTGGTGCAAAAAAAAAAAAAAGTAGAACTGTAGAACTGTGCATATGAGCATAATTTTAAAATGAGGAGCTAACAGAAATTTTCAAAATAAAATATATAGCATATGCCAATTATTTAAAATGTAAAAATATATAAATTATATATGTTATTAATATACCTTGTAAAACTATAAAAATAAACAAGAAAGAAAATCCATAACATTCAACATAGTCTTACATCAAGGAAGGGCTAGAAGATAATATCATAGGGCCACACATGGGATTTTAATGTATTAATATTTTCTTTTGAATTGGCCTGAAACAAAAATGGTAAAATTTAATCATTTTGAAAACCTGGGTGGTAAGTACAAACATATTAGTTAATTTATTTTGTCTATATTCTTGAAGTGTTTCATAAGAATATTTTAGAAGTAAAAGATGAAATTAAAAGATGGTGAAATTAATAGACTACACACCATAGAGGTCATAAAAAAGTGAAACACTGTTTTTTGAAAAGATTAAAATATAATAATAATAACAGTTATCTGGGAAAGCAAACAGAGAGGAGACACAAATAAACACTATGAAGAATATAAAAGGATAGATACAGCAATTTGGAAACATTAAATAGAGAGTGTTCTAGATGAGTATACCTTACAAAATTTTACTATAAATACATAGAAAACATGAATATTTTCATAGCTATTTAAAAACATGAATCAGTTGAAAATTCCCATTCTCCAAAGGCACCAAGTCCAGATTCTTTTAAGGCAAGTTTTACAAACTTTCAATGAACTAATGATTTCTGCATAAAACAAGTTATTCTAAGAAATGGAAAAAAAGAGAAAATTTTCCAATTCATTTACAAATTAGTACAATCTTGATATTCACATTAGACAAGTTCAGTAGAAGGAAAAAAGTTCAGGCTAATTTTACTTATAACTATGCATGCAAATATTCTAAATAAGAAATGAACAAATGAAATCTAATGTATAAAACACTCACTAATAGAGTTTATATTAGATATTCAAGGATGGTTCAATATGAGAAAAATCTATTAACCTAATAGATTAACACAGTGAAGGGGGTAAGATCTTTGATATTCTGCTAACTATATGCAGAAAAATAATTTGGTGATACTTTACATATTCATAATTAAAACTTTGAGCAAATTCAGAATAGAAGAGGAAGTTCCTTAACTTGATTAAGGTCATCAAAAAACCCCCCCAGAGTAGAAATCACAATTGATGGAGATTTCTTTGGGAGCATTCTTAATTAGATACTGGAATAAAACTGCTATTGCTGTCAGTATTACATTTAAATTAGAGGTTCAATTTAATGTAAAAAGATTTTAAAAACTTAAAAGATTAGAAAAGAAGAAAATAAGTGTGAATTTTCTGGATGAAAAATTAAAAAAAAAACATTTAACAAACAGTAGAATAAGTAAATTCAAAAAAGTTGCTTATATAAAATCGACATGCAAAACAATTAGCTGCTATTGTCCTCATGGGAATGAAATATTAATAACTAAAGATATGCAATACTAGCTTGTACTCACCACACTATGCAAGATTTAATATGTTTTAACATTTTTTTGATAGATACATCTATCTTGGCTTGCCATCAGCTCTAAGAGGAATAAGCTATATTCCAGCCTTTTTAATCCTAATTATTTTGAAGAAACGTCGTCTACCTGGTGAAAATGTCTCTTCAGGAACTGTGCTTATAGAGGCAAAAGTTGCAGGGAAGGAAAATGAGTGCAAAGATATGCACCAAAATTCCAAAGTCTTGAATGATGATGAATTGAAAACTAAACTGTGATGCCCTATTATATCATGTTTCCCAGAGTTGGAGAATTCACTACAACTTAATTGTTTTTAAAATCAATAGGGATACAGAGGGTAACTTTTTCTTATCTTTATGAACCTCAAGTTTTGGTGTCTTTTGTTGTTGTTGATGTTGTTGTTGTTTTTGCTCAAGGTAAAAAAATGTTCAATTGGTATTTCTGAGGCATCCATGACACTTGAGATTTTTCTCAGAGGGACATTTATAATAATTTTCAAAACAGCATATTAGAGCCAGCTTTATTTTTTATGTGAAAATAGCAATTTCTCTTTAAACTCATGTGAAATGAGAGTATATTTCCCATATCGCCTTTTCCAAATGATTCTAAAAATTTCCTATTATAAACATCTATTTAATTCCATTGAACTTCTGATTGATACTGAGGTTATTTAGAGACTGAAATTCTTATCTTGCTTACATGAATATTTATTTTATTCAAATATATCACTTTTGTATGAAAGAAGCCCACACCTTCTAATTCTAGGAATTATTCTTTAACTTTCCCTATTGCTTTCAGACATGATTGTTTTAAAATCAATTACTCATTAATAAGCCATCACTTGCTCACAATTTGTTCCCAGCTTTATTACTCAAGTCCTATATTTGCCCATTTTGTTCACAATACTGAAAAACTAAGTCAGTTCATTAAAAATCATGTAGCAAAGATTGTTGGATTTTTTTTTTTTTAAGCAATTCAAACCTGGTGACTAAACTCTGGAAAAACAAGTGTCTGAGTCAAAGGATGAAAGGATGATATTAGAAAAACACTTTAGTATCAGACATTGTTGAGGGAACATTTTCCTAAATTCAGGAGACCTTCTGAAATCAATGTTTATCCTATCCATGGTGTCCAAAGTTAGAACACAATATAATTTTCCATAATTCATCTTAGAGAATGATGCCTTTAAAAAGTAGCTTCTGTTATGAAATTGGGTTAATAAAATTCAAGATACACATTTAAAACTAAATCTACTGATATTATTATTTTGTCATTTATGGTTACAATAAAAGAATGAAAGACTTCTCTTTTTTTCTTTTTTTTTTTATTGTGTTATGTTAGCCACCATACAGTACATCATCAGTTTTTGATGTAGTATTCCATGATTCATTGTTTGCATATAACACCCAGTGCTCCAAGCAATCTATGCCCTCCTTAATACCCATCAACAGACACCCCATCCCCTCACCTCCCCTCCCTTCTAAAACTCTCTGTTTGTTTCCCGGAGTCCATAGTCTCTCATAGTTCATCTACCATTCTGATTTCTCCCCTTTTATTTTTCCCTTCTCCTAATGTCCTCCATGCTATTCCTTATGTTCCACAGATAAGTGAAACTATATGATAATTGACTTTCTCTGCTTGACTTATTTCTTAGCCTAATCTCCTCCAGTCCCATCCAAGTTGATGCAAAAATCGGGTATTCAGCCTTTCTGATGGCTGAGTAATATTCCATTGTGTATATGGACCACATCTTCTTTATCCATTCATCTGTTGAAGAACATCTTGGTTTTTTCCACATTTTGGCTATTGTGGACGTCACTGCTATGAACATTGGGTGTGCATATGGCCCTTTTCACTACATCTGTATCTTTGGGGTAAACACCGACTAGTGCAATTGTTGGGTCATAGGGTAGCTCTATTTTTAATTTTTTGAGGAACCTCCACACTGTTTTCCAAAGTGGCTGCACTAACTTGCATTCCCAGCAACAGTGTAAGAGGGTTTCCCTTTCTCCACAACTTCTCCAACATTTGTTATTTCTTGCCTTGTCGATTTTTGCCATTCTAACTGGTGTAAGCTGGTATCTTAATGGAGTTTTGATTTGAATTTCCCTGATGGCGAATGATGATGAATACTTTTTCATGTGTCCATTAAAGATTAAAGACTTTTAAAAGACAAGAGGCCCTATTAATGGTATGGGGTTTCTGGTTCAAGAGAGTAGAATAAGGAACCATATTTATCTAATTCTTATTTTATCTCCTTATTTCCATCCCACTCAAATAATATTCAATACATATATAATTATATAAATCCATAATGGTGAGGAGATCACAGGAAGGGAGGGTGGGAGAAATGGATAGCAATACACTATGTTTATATATTGTATAATATAAAAGGAATGTGGCTTCCTCCAGGGATAGAAGAGTGGAAGAAGGTGTAATCTAGAATGCAGTCACAAGGAGCCCGGGATGTAGGTAGGACCCTCTGAGTTGCAAGTTCAAATGCCACCAGAAAAATTGGTAGTTGCACAGAAAATAGACCAGTTAATTGAAAGACTGCCTAAAGATGTTTTGAAGACTAATGTAATTTCCTGAATGATTAGAAGTGTCATATGAGAAGAAAGAAATTGAGAGGAGAAAAACTGGATAAGGCAGTCTCTAAGAGTTAAGTTTTGGACTTGTGGAGCTTGAAATTTCATTTCTGGTTATACTAAAAATAACCATGATTCAAGACAGGAAGGAGTATTGTTGAAACAAGTGAGAAGAGCTAATCATTGGAAATGAGGAATGTCAATCAGGGAAGGTATGATTGCAGTAGTGAAGTATAGTTCAGTGTTTATAGTTGAGTGTTAGAGTCTGATGACAGGAAATCTGGAGTTGGAAGGAAGGAAGTGGGAAGAATCACCTGGAAGCTAAAAGAAGGAACAAGGACTTACCCTATTTCCAGAGACTTGTGAGAAAAAGGAAACAGCACCACATAAGAAGCTTTTGGAGGGAGAGGAAGATAGTGGCAGAGGAGAAAACCCTTGGCCCATCTTATCCCATGAACACAGCTAGATAACTATCAAATCATCCTAAATGACCCAGAAATTGGCCTGAACACAAACAGAACAAACTCCACAACTAAAGGAAGAGAAGAGGCCACATCAAAGACAGTAGAAAGTGCAGAGATGGAGTTCAGGGAAGAAACAGATGCCAGGTGCTGTGGAGGGGTAAGGAGCCATCGTCTCAGAGAAGGGCAAGATTGAAAGGAGTGAACAGGGGGATGGTTGCGCAAGGAAAATGTTTTTCCAAAGTCATTGGCTTGGAAAATGAGGCTAAATTTTCTGAGTTTTTGCAACCAGCAGGGCTTGGCAACTAGAGCTTTAAAGGTCAATGGGTTTGGCTGGGATAGAGCCCTGAGGGCACTACACTGCTCCTGGAGAGGAGGTAGGAAAACAGTATTTGGGCAGACAGTGGGGAAACAGTGATTTAAAGAGCACCTGTTGTAAACAGCAGGAAGATGATTTACTCTTCTCAGAGGCTGTCCCTGAGAGGCAACATTCATGGAGCTGTCTTTCTGGGAACAAAGGTGCTGGCTGGCACCATTTCCCTCCCCCACTCCTCATCATAAACACAGAACCACCTGTAGGAGGTCAGTACAGCAGGAACACTGGCTGCTGCATGTGTTAACACCAAGCCCCACCCCCCGGCACTCTGACAGGACTGCCCTTCTCAGTCAAGCTTGTCTCAGTCCTGGAGCAGCAGTCCTCCCATCCCCCAGAAGATAAGCACAAAATCGTGCTCACATCATGTCACCTGACCAGAGTTCTGCAGGGCGCCAGTTCTGGTGGAGTTAGTTCAGGTTTCATTTCACAAGCAGACCAGAGCATACCTAGTTAAAACTGGCCACATTCTGGCGAGGGACCAAAAATGGCCCACAACAGGCAACGAGATCCTCTGCAAAATGGCCAGAAGGATAGAGCAGCCAAAACACAAGAGCAGAGCTTATGCAGCACATACCTGAGACATTCCCCAAAGCACCAGGCTCTGGGAACCTCAATGACCTCTTCATGAGGCCATTACTTTCAGAAGCAGGAGACATAATTGGCTTTTCAAATGCAAAAAATAAGGCAGAGACTTAGACAAAATGCAAAGACAGAAGAATTTATCCCAAATGAAATAACAAGATAAGGCCATGGTCAGAGATCTAAGCGAAACAGATATAAGTAATGAGTCTGATGGAGAATTCAAAGAAATAATCATAAAGATAATCACTTGGCTAGAGAAAAGAAAAGAAGACATCAGTAAGACACTTACAACGGAGATAAAACAGTTTAAAAAGAATCAATCTGAGATGAAGAATGTAATAGACAAGATTGGAAACAGGCTTGATGCAATGAACAGCAGGCTGGAAGAAACAGGAATGAATTAGTGATCTAGAAGACAACACAATGGAAAATATGAAGCTGAACAAAAGAGAGAAAGAAGAATTATGGAACACGAGAATACACTTAGAGAACTCAGGAACTCCAACAAACATTCATATTATAGAAGTCCCAGGAGAAGAGATAGAAAAGAAGACAGGAAATTTATTTGATGAAATAATAGCTGAAAACTTCCCTAATCTGGGGAATGAAACAGACATCCAGGTCAATGAGGCACAGAGAAGTCCCAACAAAAGCAACAAAAGCAGACCAACACCAAGATGTATTGTAATTAAATTTGCAAAATATAGTGAAAGAAACAATCTTAGGGCACCTGGGTGACTCAGTCCTTAAGCATATGCCTTTGACTCAGGTCATGATCCCAGAGTCTTGGGATAGAGTCCAGCAATGGGCTCCTTGCTCAGCAGGGACCTTGCTTCTCCCTCTCCCTCTGCCTGCCACTACCCCACTGCCCCCCACCTTGTGCTCTCTCTTTCACTATCTCTTTCTCACTCTGTCAAATAAATAAAATATTTTAAAAAGAGACAAAGAAAAAAATCCAGTCCTAATTAAGGGAAGAATAGAAGCAAACAAATGTTAAGAATATGTCCTTTACTGCTAACTACAGATATATTGTCAGAAGCTTGTTAATTAGTAATCTCTTTCCAACAAAAAAAAAAAAAAAGAAAGAAAGGCAAGGCAAGGCAAGACAGGAGAGGAGAGGAGGGAAGAGGAGAGGAGGGGAGGGGAGGGGAGGGGAGAGGAGAGGAGAGGAGAGGAGAGGAGAGGAGAGGCAGAGAGCCTGATGTGGGACTCGATCCCAGGACCCTGAGATCATGACCTGAGCCGAAGGCAGCAGCTTAACCCACTGAGCCACCCAGGCGCCCTAAATTATTTTATAATTTAAATTATAAATTTATATTTTATAATATAATAAATAATGGTTTAAATAATTTCTTTGTTATTAGTATTTCATGCTTCTGTGAGATCATTAAGGGCTATATTAGAGATAG